GTTTTGTATCTCTGATGATGTGGTTCGCCGGGTCGTATCGTACATTGGTGATTTAGTATAGTTAATTCCACAGCATATTTACAGATTTTCACTATTCTCTTAATGTGTAGTTGTGTGTAGTGATGGATTTTTCAGAAGAATGGCATTTGGGTGATCTGGTCCCAATTTTCAGAGGTAAGGTATTGTAATTCATACTTGAAAATCGGAATAATGGGGTGAAATTTTTTATGATTTGTTGATTATCTGATGTTTTCATACCGATCTCCATCAAACAGACAAACCGTGCAATTTGGTAGGTCATAGAAGGATGTAGGAATAAGTAGGTAGGTATGTGTGATATTTCGTAGATAAGTATACTTTCTAATCAGCTGTATATGGAAATATTTCAGTGAAATGGCGTTCAAATTCTTCTATGATTTTCAATGGAAGATTCCATGCAGTCAAATAAATATTTCTTTAATTCAAATGTCACCAGCTTCACTTGAAACAAAATATTTGTTTCCGTGAAACAAATGATAATTAGTATGTTGAATGTTTTGATTCTATGTTAGTATCTTCGGGAGAATATTAAAACTCAGGAATCACCCCTTGAATTTTTTCGGTGTTATTTAGATATACCCTGTATAAGTATTTTGAGATATCATGTAACTATATCTAGAGAAAATAATCACTAGAACAAAAATTATCACAGCTCTTTTCTTCATATAAAAAATTGTCATCAATGCACTTCAATGTTATGGAATTTTTATTTCTTTGTTATGCATAAATTTCATCTATTCCCGCATTAAAAAATACTTAACTTTCAGGAGAGCAATAAGAAATCTGCTACGTCTGTCATTGATGTGAATACTCCAGTGATTTCCGAAAACATTTTCATTGATGCTGATGCACCGGATGATAGAGCCGATGATCCACCTGCCAAATATTTGAGGTTGGATACAAATAACAGCGATCAACCTGCTTCAGGATCATCATGTATCTTGACTTCTGTAGTAACGAACCAAAATAGTGTGTCTGTCACATTTTTTCGATTATTCAATAAAGTTTGTTATAGTTCAATTTTGTTGTTAATTCTCAATTCCTTCCAAGAGGAGTATTGTTTTCTAAGAAATGAATTTCTTCTTAGGAAGATTCTATTTCTTTGAGTTTATTAATTTTTGATTTCGTTCAAATCTACAATTTATTTCTGGTAAGGGAATCCATTATTTGAGCTTGTTTCTTTCAAACAATTTCCTTATTTTTCTCAAGCATTGACATCTTTGAATCAAATTACATTTACATATATTTATTTTTCACAAATAATCATTTGTTTCTTCCAAAGAATGTTCTTGTTTCTGTCAAGCTCTGATTTCTTTGATACAAATTTCATTTACATATATTTATTCTTCACAAATAATTATTTATTTCTTCCAAATAATTTCATTGTTTCCCTCAAGCTTTATATTCTTTGATGCAAATTATACTTATTCACTATGAATAATTCTGATCATAAATCCAAAGAAATAGTTTTGATTCAAACAAATATATACTTTCTTCCAAATTATGAATCATATCATTTTCAATAAATTATATAGATACAAAAAAATCACTTACTTGAAAAATCAAAAGAATGGAAACTTTGATTCAACCAAGCTTGTTTGTTGGACCTATTCAAACTTCGGATTTCTTTGAATTTAACAATATTTGTTAAATTCAAAGAATTGTTTTTCTCTGTGTATGACAAATTGAAAATACCTGAAATCAGTTAGTAATATCATGAATTTTTCCAGAGGAAAACTGACATTCTCAACATGTTGAGAACTCCCTCAAATACATGTGGTCAAATTTTCATGTTGATATCATATACAGGGCGTTATTTATTGTCAATTGATTTTCGATGCTTGAAAATAATGAGAAAAGTATAATTAACATCATGATTTCATTTAGATACTACTTAAAAGGAACACAGGAAATAAGGAAGTTGATATTTCAATTGTTCAATCTGATAAGAATATGAAAATCAGTATTCACCATAAATATCGATAAATCATCCCACTGTGACGCCACTGGCAATATTATTCTGGATCTAATCACACCAAAAGAGGCTCTATATCACTATGAACAAGACTACGAAGTTTCATTGAAATTGATGTAAAGACAATTGAGTAATGAATGAAAAAATGATTTTTCATTGAAATATTACGACCATATATCTCGAAACCGAAGCAAGTTAGAACACAATCATATTCATTTATGATCTTTATTTCCTGAACTTCCATAAGAAATCACCATCTGAAGTTTGTTTCACTTATTCACTAACACTGATACTTACAATCAATTTTGATTATTCACATAATTTTTTTCAGAGTTGACGGTATAGTTTGAATTGAATGAACCAACAATCTAATGTGGGAACTTGCATTCTCTACTTTGATTTTATATAACTTTATGGATGTTATTAAAATATAAGTATGTACTTCACTATTACAGAAATCAATTTGCAATAAATCACAGATTTTTATGGATGGTGACTTTCTATTCAAAATATTTGCGTAGGTGTGGTTCCTATAAAAAACTCCCACCTCATTTCTCAGTTGAAATAGAAGCCTTCATGAAAAAATAATTGCCAATGAACAAAAATGGTTTTGTTAGGTATGGATTCATTATTACGGAAATCTAAGTAGTCTGGCGATCACCAGGCGATATGTATTTGGATTTACTAAAAAATGCCATCGACTCAGCTCTAACAAATATTGAGAACGATCCCGCATACCATGAACAGGAACTGATTTTCCCGAGGATTTTCCAACAAGACGGAGCTCCTCCTCATTATTCTCAGAATCTACGTAATTATTAACATGACACATTTCCAGGACGATGGATAATACGACGGGGCCCAATAGAATGGCCACCTCGGTCACCCGACCTAAGTCCTTTAGATTTTTTTTCTGTGGGGACACATCAAAAGCCTTATTTACAAAACACCACCAGACACATTAGAACAGTTGCGACAAAGAATCATTAACGTATGTCGCGAAGTGACACCCCAAAAGCTCCAGAATGTTCGACAACGGTTTGAAAATAACTTATACCACTGTATGCATGTTGACGGACAGCAATTCGAACATTTACTTGACTAATAAATGAGTTCTGAAGTACAATTGAACCGATTTTTGTATTTTTCGTCCCACATGATGGTTGGAGTTTCAACGCTCTATATTTTCTGAAAGAGTAGATCGATTTGAAAAATCTAAGCAGCACTGTATAGGGAATGACGAGCCCCTTCTAAAAAGGTATCGCTTGATCACCCTTCTCATTTGAAAAAAATGTTGGGGACACCCCTACTTAGGGGGTTGAAGGTTTTACTATGCTTGTTACGTCAAATTGTGCCCCCCTGACAAACCAACTCGACTTGTTTTCGGATTTTATAGAAAAGTTCTTTCCCAGCCTGTAATGCCTTGCGGTACGTTTTCGATGGGCCACCCTGTATATGGATTAGTAGATATCTACTACTTCTATTTAGTTCCCATTTATTGATCTTTCCAATGATGATGAGTCATCTACTGTTTCACATGTGAAATATACCTCATAGGTCCAGGTAATTTCAAACTTCGTCCAGTTTTGCAAAGCAGGATATACATATACAGGGTGTCCTAGGATTTACTCTTCACTTTTTTACTAGGATACACCGTTACTAAGCTGCGTGCCATCGAAGATACAAAAAGAATATTGTTTCTCTTCGATAACTTTTCCCAATAGGAGAAGACTTGGGAGAAGAGGAGGTTCTGAAACACCCTGTATAAAATATATTGTCACCAACATGGTCAATGATGAAGTTTTGAATATCATTATCAGACCGTGAAATTTATATATGGTGACCATTTGGAAACTCACTATATCGAGTGATACTATTATACCTCACAAAGGGAATGTCATACAATGTTCATACAATTATACTCCTCGTATACATTTCAATCTTCATTTTAATACTGAATATATTGGTAAGTTGGAGAGTACTTTTGTGTCATTATACATCATATTATTATTCTTTCGATTTGAAAGAGAATGTCAATTCTCAATTTCAGAAGATTTTTATTTTTCATGCTCTCCTTTTGGATGATCAATAGATATAATTCAATGTTCGAAGTTGTTTTCTGTTGAATATTCAGAATTCTCAACTTCAGAAGCTTATTATAGATATAATTCAATGTTACTCGTGGCATATAGCCAGGAAAGTAGTTGTTTTCTGTTGAATAAACCAAGAAAGAATTGATATTTTGATCACATAGAAAATGCAAATTCTCAATGTATTCCTTTATATACAGGGTGTCCCGAAATTACATAGGAAGATTTCAACCACAGATTCTAGGAACAAAAATAATATAAGGCATGTTGGGCCAAATTTTCATATTTTGACGTTCTGTTTTTCTATCTCTTCGAGCGCACGAAAGGAAATTCTAATAATAGTCGTGAATAGGAAGAGGAGGTAAGTGTTGATTTTTTTTCAACTTCTTGAGGAAATAAGTTCTTGGGAATCTTCTATATACTATTTTTGCCCCGAATTCCGTCATCGAATGATGAAAAAAGCCCAACTAACCTCAATCCTCTCTCACAACGAATTCCGATGGTAAAGACGGTGACATCACAGTAGCATTATTTGAAATCAAGACCTATGTCAGAAAACCTAAAACTATACCTTTAATATACATACTGTCCAAACTTACAAAGTAATTGAACACTTTGTATCTCCTGAGCCAGCAACATTTTTATAAGGCATGTTGAGCCAAATCTTCATATTTTGGTGTTCTGTTTTTCTATCTCTTGGAGCACACGAATGGAAATTCTTATAATAGTCGTGGATAGGAAGAGGAGATAGGTGTATTTTTGAACGTTTTGAGGTAGCAAGTTCTTGATGGGAATACTTATTATCTGTAGTTCAGAGATCGCCCATTCCGAATGAATCACCCTGTATATTTTTGCCCCGAATTCCGTCATAAAATAGAAAAAAAAGCCCAACTAACCTCAATCCTCTCTCACAACGAATTCCGATGGCAAAGACGGTGAAATCACCGCAGCATTATTTGAAATCGAGACCTATTAGAGAGCCAGTCGAATTGGGTCCAGAAGTCGGTCATCACACATTCACTTCACCTGTATAACTGATAGCAAATTACGTTCGACATAATAATACCTATCTACAGAGGTACGCGAAGAATATTGTTTCGCGGACCGCGTGCTGCTGAGCGTGCGCGTTGGATTGAATGTGGCGTCGGGACGCTGGCGCCGCGTCGCGACGCTCGTATCGACGATGCGCCGGCAGCGCAGGAAGAAACAGTATATTAGGGTGGACCAAATAAAGGTATATTCATGCTTGTACGAATTCCGCAAAATTTATGCGAATAAAATGGCGACTGCGAATATCGCAATGAAGTTGAAATATAGTTCTCAACACACTAAATGGACCACTCATAATAATAATAATAATAATAATATCATTTATTCATAGAGAAAGGTATAAATACAGTGGACATAATATAAGTTTATGATAAATGATCGATACTCGATAAGTAACTGTTTACTTGTTTCGAGAACAAAAATATACATAATTTGATATAGGTTTTCCTAGCATCTTTCCAGCAAGATTGAAATTTCATTATAATAACAAGAATAATCAACGCACATACACAAATATGTATAACTAACTATAGAGTTATAAATAACTATTGCAAATGTTATATCTACGAATTACCAGCATTAACACAAACATTAGAACATGACTACAGGTAATTGAAACTTATAAATAACTAACACAATAACAATATAACGATATAACACTAATATAACAACATAACAAAATGAAAAGTACCTAGGTAATAAAAATAGTAATAAGTTTATAATAATAGAAATTGATCAAGATATGATTTCAAAAATATTATTGCACCATAATCTTGAATTACTCATCATTTACATCAGGAATTGAATTATAAGCTTTTGGGGCAAAATAGGAAAAGGACCTTTGACAAATAGATTTGGTCATATGTGGAATGAAATGATGATGCCTTTGCCTGGTTTTGTAGCTATGGGTATGGGTCATAATTTGACTATATTTCGAAGACCTGTATTTTTTGAAAAAATTGACCGATCTTCATGCGGTTTTCGATATCAGATGTGATATTTCATCGGCTTCAAAGAGAGCTAGAACACTCTGGAAAAATCCGCAGAACAAAACTTACACAGGGTGTAAAGTGGAACCATTGCACTATGGTCTACATTTCCAATGCTGCCAGAACTCGAGAATATTTTTTCTGATTGAAAGTCAGTCATATTATGATACACTGGGACCTCATCTCGGGACGTTTTCGTGATTTCTCCTTAATTGGCCATTGGAACAGAAAATCGATTTATTTTTTCGAAAGTCTTGCATTTCTTGAATTTTTTTTCTGGAACTCCACTTGAGCTGAATATTGGGAAGAACTGTCGTCATGTTTTGTGGAGGACAATGTATGACGAAAAAAGCACTATTGTGGAATATACAGGATGATAAGAAAATAGGACAAAATCTCATTTCAGTAAAAAAAATCAAAAATGGTGACTAAAGCCATGGTCTTGCAAAATCGTCTAAAAGATGCTTTTGATAGATTTTTTTGCTTGAAACGATGAGCGAAAAATTTTGATCTATCAAATCACTGAAAAATATATTATTTTCAAAAATGGTTGTTGAGGTGTAAAGCAGCTTTTCGCAAGAAACGAAAATCCAAGTTTTTGTGGAGCAGATTTCGCTTCAATGGATCTGACCTGATTATGATTATCCTTAGAAAGACTATTGCTGACTGAAATACCGAGCATAGATATGGTGGACTTGGTGGGAATGGTGGCATCAGACATAGTTATATCAGGCACTAGCTCACCTGGCAAACTTTGTATTGCATTAAACATTTTTTCTAAAAAATATTTTTTCAGTTAAATATTTATTAACACACTTTTTCTATTTCATTTTCTACTTCTATTTAGTTTGGCTATCCATGAAAGCGTGTTGCAGTAGTTTTTCAAACTTCTATACATTATTTTCTAGATCCTTCGAATTCATTGGAAAGCAGAAAACGCATACCTACCTACCACCAGAAGGATTCCGTCTCGGATTCTATCTATAATTATTATCATCTAGGACATTCATCTGTGAATGAGTGAATCAGTATTTCATTCATTTTCTTCAAAATATTATGGAAAATGTAAAATGTCTTATAAAACTTGGAGTACTTTTTCGCTTTCCTCACCTATTCTAATTCCAATTCTGCAAATGTTCATTCTCTCTAACCAACGATGTTGCATTGATTAGGTATTTTTGGATATATAATTCTCTAACTAACCGTCTGAGAGATTTCATCTATAATATATTCCATTTAATTATATATTATTATCTAGGACATTCCTCTGTGGAATGAGTAGATCAGTATTCCATTTACTTTTTTCAAAATAATATGGAAAATGTAAAATGTCTTATAAATCTTGGAGTACTTCTCCGCTCATCTCACCTGTTCTATAGAAATGGCGATATGACGAAGCAACCGTGTTTTTTGTTGGCTCAACTTTGCATACAAAAAAATAGTCTATACACAGTAAAAAAAATAGAGTGAAATTTAACACTATACCTGTTCCCAGGAGGACCACTAAGCTTTAGAGTAAATGATTTAACTCTATAGTTTAGTATATAATAGTGTGATTTTTTCAATTCAATTAGTGTAAATTTTCACTGCAAGCACATTGAAACTTACTCTATTTATTTCTCTAAATATATTGAATAAACACAAAAATAGAGTTGAAAGAAACAATTTCGAGAGTGAATATTCCATTCAAGACCCAAGCTAGTGTCAATATCATCACTTTAGAGTGAAATTCAATAACCGAATATTACATAGGCACAAAAGTTCAGAGTTGTAATATAATAGTAGAGAGTAGATTCCACACTATGAACAGTGTTGGATCCACCGGGAATTGATTGAAATTTTTACTCTACGTGGATGTCAAATTGCTCCTGCATTGTTCAAATTGACACTACTATTTGTTCAGGTGCTAATAAGGAGTTATCATTCATTCAACATTTTAGATTTGATATAGAACACTAGTTGAGTAAACTAGTTACTACTTTCTGTTGATATTTCATCCAAGTTGAATTAACCATTCTTTCACATGTCACAGTATTTATAGGACTCCGACAGACGTTCAGCGGCGAAATCTCGGCATAGTCTCTGCAGCGCCACCTGTATGCAGTGGCGCGAATTGGCGGATGAGAAGTAGTGTGACTTTATAATATTTTAATCGTTTGATATTTGAAAAATGACTCGAGTCCCACTAGACTAATTAGTTAACCTATATCTGTTTCATAAATCTTTCGAAATAACAATTCGAAACGGAAAAAAACGGAAAATAACTGAGATATAGGTATATACGGAAATATTTTCATAACTCAATGTTAAAAATTTCTCACTACGCGGGTATAGTAAAAAAGCTACTTGAAGCTAATATGTTCATTATATCATCGGCACTATAATCTGTATTACTTATTTCACTATCTAGTGGACTGAACGATCTGAAACTGTATAGATTAATATTTCATCGTATATAGATTGAATTGAACAATGATAGAGTGTCAATTTAATCGACAAGAGAGGAATATTCAAGTTCACTAGTGTCAGTGAACACTAGTAAGAATTCAATTTCAATTGTTAGTGAATTGAGTTATCTGAATTGATATTTTATTGAAATTTCAGGAATATAGAGTGAATTCAATACGAGAATAGTGAAAATTCAATCAAGAATTAGTTTCAAAGGAGATAATCTGCGAGAAGTGTAGTAATAGAGTTGATTGCAGTATTAGAGTGAGTTTGTCAGAGTATTTTAACTCTAAAAACATACTCTACGGATTTCACTCGAAGCGGTTTTTTACTGTGTATATAGTAAAATTCACCCTGATCCATTGAATCATTTTATCATGTTCCTGATATTTGTTGGACTATATGTACTAAAGGTATCGTTTTGAACATTCCAGCACTTCCCTGTGTTTGAAGAATTAGAAAAAATATAATATTATATGACTATAGATATAACACAGTTGCTTTGTTAATTCCATCATGATACCTATGTTTATTATACATCAGATATTTCTTGTATAGGTTTATTGAACGAAATATAAATAGGTTCGTATCATAAAAAGACAAATTGGATCGCAGACTATTTCGTGAAAATAATAAATATCATACTTCATCATAGGACCATTGACTATCAATAAGGCATTTGAACTTTATAGGAGGAGCTTATTTTTGTTAAGTGCCGCGCCCACAGGGAAAATTCTTCTTCACGGTGCCTCCGCTCCCAATTTCCCATGCGAAAACCAAATAAGATTTCAGTAAATAAAAATTATTTCTGGAGAGTACTACATCTGATCTGTGCATCTTATCGAGTAGTTTTTCCATTTTTGATTCCATAACGTAGAAAAAAATTCACAAAATCGGTCAAAAACGCACTACTTTACAGGTGTTTATAAATTAGTCTATGTAAAAAAATGAAGATCCATTCGATAATATGCATCGATTGCACCTTTGACTACCGAGGAAAAAAAATTGAGCCTCTAGCATGATCCATAACCATAGGGGAACTTGGGAGCGGTACCTCGTTTATTGGCGGAGGCGCTGCGGAATATGCCCTCTTAATAACAATTCTTCGAAAAACTAATGACACTGAATATAAAACAGCCAGGTCCACAAAAATAAAGCTTGGGTCGTTTCAAAAAACTTGTTCGTTTATTATTTTCTCACATCTCTGAAATCAAAAGAGTTAAGAGGGGATTCATATTTAAGATCCACACCCTGTATGTAAGTGTAAGTAAGTGATTTATTTGAAGTAATGGTATCTGTTTAGGTTTTTTTTTGGTGAGTGAACCCTTTATAATGTCTCTATTGCCTGAAGAGTATTTGCTATGGTATTTGTCACGCTTCCCTATCTCTCAATTCTGTGTATCCTAACTATCCTACCTTTTCCTGATAAATGTACAATCTATGTAATCTTTAATAAATCGTATCAACTTTATTGATATCATATCAGTTAGTCAGTGAACATTGGTAACACTACGACCGAATATAGTTACCTCAATATATAACCTTGGTGACTATAAATTTGAAGAATAGAATAGGTGAGTCGACCCAATGAATTCCAATAAAATTAAAAGTAGATTGTTTTATTAGGATCAAAAGTGACACTCTGTTTTACAAGCGAATTTTGCATTTGCGAGTCAAACAAATTCACTTTTGATCCGAATGGAACATGGTATTTTTTCTGCAACCGAAACAATTAACTCAAATAAATATTTGAAGTAACCACCAATGCCGTGCCATATGTATGCAATGCAACAATTCAAAATCAATGCAAAATCCGTGTGGTGAGAATATTCTTCCTGCATTAACACAGCAGGTTTATTCAATTTTCAAGGATGTTCGAATTGTTGGTTCAACAAAAATACAATCACAGAGTGACATTTGTGTATATGGACCAGGTGCTTCTGATGGCAAATACCGCGCCAGTATGCCAGGTATAGGAACAAGACATGGAAAATGTCAGGTTATTGAGCATATCAACAATGATAATAGCGATTATTTATTCCTCTCCAAACTACACTGTGTTTGACTTAATAATCAGATAGAGGTAAACAATATCGTTGTTTGAGACAAAACACTATTGCTTGCCGTATGATTTTTCAAAAACAAGTTATCCATCCCGAGAATAACGAATGAAATACAGATCAAGCAAGTATGTGAATCTTGAAGGCTTTCCTGATCAAAGCAGAAATACTTAACTGAGATGTTTGAAATTCCTATACTTAACTATGATAAGGTGTATTTATATCTCCAGCATGGGTATGAAATGCCAAATCTGCCGAAATCGGAAACAAATCAGGTATGCGTCCCAACCCAAATAACCAACCGTAACAATGTTGTTTATTCTTGATGACGTCTAGTGCATCCTCTTTAGTTCCTAGGAGCTGAAGTTCAACTTTAGCTCCTAGGAACTTAAGTTCAACTTTAGCTCCGAGGAACTAAATATGTCGCCTAGCAACATACCTATTTTGTGTCAGTAATAGAAACGTCAATTGAAGAGCTAATTTTGGTATCAAAATGGATTACTTTTGTGTCGGGTGCAGAAAAACAACATTGTTAGGGTTGGTTATTTGGGCTGGGACGCAGATTTGGCATTTCATAGCCATGCTGGAGATATAAATACAACTTATTATAGTTAAGTATTTTTGTTTTGATCAGGAAAGCCTTCAAGATTCACATACCTGCTTGATCTGTATTTCATTCGTTATTCTCGGTTTGGATATCTTGTTTTTGAATTATCACGGCCAGCAATAGTTTTTTGGCTCGAACAACGATATTGTTTACCTTTATTTGATTATCAAGCCAAACCCAGTAGAGTATGGAGAGAAATGAATAATCGCTATTATTATTGTTGATATGCTCACTAACCTAACATTTTCCACGTCTTGTTCATACACGTGACACTGGGGCGGTATTTGCCATTATATTATAGAGCACCTGGTCCACACACAAATATGTCACTCTATGGTTGTATTTATTTTAAACCTACAATTCGAACATCCTTGAAAATTGAATGAACCTGCTGTTAATGCAGGAATGATATTCTCACCACACGCAATATTTGTTGCATTGCATATATATGGCACGGCATTGGTGGTAACTTCACATATTTATTCGAGTTGATTGTTTCGGTCGCAGAAAAACTAGCATGTTTCATTCGGATCGAGAGTGACTTTGTTTGACTCGCAAATTTCGCTTTCGCTCGGCTTCTCTAAACGCTCCGCCTCGCAAATGCAAAAATCGCTTGTCAAACAAAGTGTCACTTTTGATCCTAATAAAACAATCTACTATTACTATCAAGGTGAATATTGAATATTCTTCAACACTAGCAATATATTTAAATAACCATAGTTATGTGAAACTGAAATAATATATGGACCTATTGTTACTATAAAGCAATTCTTTTCAATTCTAATTGAAATCTAGTAGTCATGGCCTCATGACCATGACAGCATCTGACAAATCGTTATTGATGAATACCTGCTAGACTCGGGTGCCATTCCTACGAATCTCGCATCAGAACATTAAATTCTGGTTAATAACTATAAGAGAGGTGGGGTAATGTTTTTATTGACTAGGTAGTAGTTCATAAAAAGACGAAAACTAGCTTGGTAAAAAAAAAACACTTCACCCCTTGACACGGAGGAAATAATGGTAGGTTCAATATTGCTAGTGGTGGAAAAACACGTATGGGTGATTCACATAACAACCGACATAGAGCAGGGGCATGTAGGGGGTCCCAAAATATGGCAATTTAACGCAACTTATTTCTATACCAAGTTGTTTCCCTGAGGAGTTATAGGCTTTGAAAGTGAAGTTATAAATTTTGAAAAAAATCAATATCTCCGTTATTCTTGAACTCAAAGCAACCAAATTTGGTACACTTTGTGGATGTATTTAGGGCGTTACTTGACAGTAACAAGAGTTCAATTGAAATTTGTAAAGGAGGTATACTGGGTGGCGCACCATTAATATTCAACAGAATTTTGTTAACCCTTGATGGATTTCAAAAATCGTTGCTTTGTTTTGTGGGCAATTCAATTTTAAAACTTTTCTTTCTCTAGTAATTTTTCGAAAAACCTCATCATCTTCATCAAAAACTCGAATAACTGAAAACGCGCGCTCTAGGTGTGTTATTTAGAATCATCGAAAATTCAAAAGTTGGCTATGAAAATAAACGTCAAACAAGAAAGTTGGTCATTTAATGTGATCAGTTGAAATTGGCTGGCAAACTATCATTTAGATACGTAACAAAATATGTAAAGTAAGTGGGTGATTGACTATGGATTTCTCGACTTCAACAGCTGATATCTCGAAAACGAAAAAAGATATTTGAAATTTGGAAGAAGTTACTTGAATGAGATGTCATTTTCTTCTGGAAAATGTGTTCTCTGCTTGATTTTATCATTTCATATACAGAGTATGTGAAAAAAAATGTTTTTTTCAAATGGAACCCCCTGTATAATATCGCATATTTCGGAAGAACTATCTTTCCTGATTTTGAAAATATATACTTTTCATATATTCTATTGAGTGCTTGACGAAATATCAGCAAAATTAAATATTAATATTTGGTCCAAGTTAGCTATGGTTGAAATAGAATGAGATGATGAATAAGTGAATTGACATTTGGTCAACATTTCAGTGACATAAGTGCGCAAAATTTCGACAATTTTTCCACGATGCCATATCCACTGGAACAAAGAAGAGATATTTTGGAGTGCTATTTTTCAGTTAATAAAAATCTTGCTGAAACACTTCATAAGTTTATGAGGAGTTATCCAGGCAGGAGATTACCAAGTAAGAATTATGTAAAGTATTTGGCTGCTAAATTTGACAGAACTTCCAGTTTGTCGAATATCAAGAGAATAGTGAGAAGGCAAGACAACGAAGACGAGGAACTTCTTGTGATCCAGTATTTTGTTGAGGATCCTTCACGGTCAATAAGAAATGCAGTGAGAGAGTTTGGTTTCAGCTATTATTTTGTTCAACATACCTTAAGGAAATATAAATATAGGGATTTCAGAATTAGACCATGCCACAAACTCAATTATGATGATAATGAGAAGCGGATTGAATTTTGTCTTGTCATATCTGAAAGATTAAATTTAAGTAAGTATAAGTGTGTTTCAGCAAGATTTTTATTAACTGAAAAATAGCACTCCAAAATATCTATTCTTTGTTCCAGTGGATATGGCATCGTAAGAAAATTGTCGAAATTTTGCGCACTTATGTCACTGGAATGTTGGCCACATGTCAATTCACTTATTCATCATCTCATTCTATTTCAACCATAGCTAACTTGGACCAAATATTAATATTTAATTTTGCTGATATTTCGTCAAGCCTTCGATAGAATATATGAAAAGTATATATCTTCGAAATCAGGAAAGATAGCTCTTTCGAAATATGCGATAATATACAGGGGGTTCCATTTGAAAAAAAAAATGTTTTTCACGAACCCTGTATATGAAATGATAAAATCAAGCAGAGAACACATTTTCTAGAAGGAAATGACATCTCATTCGAATAACTTTTTCCAAATTTCAAATATCTTTTTTCGTTTTCGAGATATTAGCTGTTGAAGTCGAGAAATCCATAGTCAATCACCCGTACAGATACTGAAATGTGAAGAACTGGGATTGACAACAAACCAAAATAAACACAAAAAAACTCAAACAACAACCAGAACAAACAATTGTTTATCGATAAATTAAAGAAATTGTCCAAAATGATCGCCGTTTTCTCTTACGCATAAATGTATTCTTCTTCGAAAATTGAAATCCACCCTATCTAATAACACAAAATGTATAACTTCACTTTCAAAGCCTATAACTCCTTAAGGAAGCAATTTGGTATAGAGGTAAGTTTTTTGGCACCCCCTACATGCCCCTGCTCTATGTCGGTTCTTATGTGAATCACCCTGTACAATGACTATTGGCTAACTATGATTCTTTTTCAGGATATGCATAGCACTAAGCGAGAAAATCATTTCAAACTTAGTCGTGCATTCTTATTAGTGATAGCAGTCATTCCATCGTTAGGTGTAGAGCTAAGTGTGGATAAAACATGCAATAATACGGATATCAACGATTTGTGTTCCAAACATGAAACTTGTGATGCATGTATACAGGCTCATTGGTGTTGTAATTTCTGCTATGAAAAGGTAGGTTTTCTTCAAAAAAGCTGACAGGGTGTTGAAATATGAATAACTTTTTTCTGCTTCGAACGATTTGAATTCGGATCACACTGTTCGCTTGCCCAGTCCTTCAGCTATAATCTCGTTATTCTTCAAGACATAGGGTTCTTCACATGAAACCGCTACAGGGTGTTACCTGAAACTGTGCAAAATTTCAAAAATTTCAAAAGTTTCCCAAATGGCGCAAATTTTTTTTTCAACTTTGACAGTAGAGTTATGTAGATGATCTTGGGACAGTTCTCGAATTGTCTTCTTATCTCTTTTATTCACAGAGTGATCTAAAAAATAGTTATTTATTATACAAGGGAAAAAAGTTGTAGATTTTAGCTCCAGGTTGTGTTGTCTTCCGACGCGTAGCGGAGGGAGACAAAAAACCGTGAGCTAAAATCTAATATCTTTCCCGTGTATAATACACTATTTTTTTCTGTGACAGAAGAATGGACGAATCAAGATTGAGAAGATATTACGTTATTTTGAAATCTGAAAATTATCGACGTGAAATTTTAAGTTTTTAACAGTGTTGTAGGCATCTTTATCATTCTTTTGAAGTAATCAAATATCTGATGTCACTTCTGTCAGGCTAATTATGTGATTTGATTTAAAAAAATCGCAAATTTAGTGGTTGTTTAGTGATATTCGTAACCGCGAAGTCGAATGGAAGATGAAAGGTCTTGCAGTTCTTTCTCGGAGACGGTATTATTGACTCATTTTTCGGAACTATAGCAGAACAAAAGCCATCAACAGTGTATATATATATGTGATATATATCCGGGAAAAATGTACTCACTTTTTTCCCACGGGAAAAAATTAATTTATGAAAAGTGACATTTTATAACCTGCCAACAGAGATGAAATGCCAAACTTTTTTCCCGTCACAGGAAAAATTCATTTTTTGGTTTTGCAGTCATAACTATTTTCCTCGTCAACCGATTTTTGGAATCTAAGGTTCATTTTGAAGCTTGAACTTCAGAAGAGGAGATATAGAGATCAGAATTGACTCAAGATGAACATTATACAGTGTGTTTCACTTATAATGGAAGCACCCCTGTATCTTCCGTATTGTTGTTGAGTTAGGATTCTGAAATTTGCAAGAGCGGTAGATATACTGAAAATACACACTATGGCCAAGTGGAGTCGTCTCCAGTGATCTACACTGCTCGTCAATAGCTATGGAACCACCCACAAAAATGATATAAGGACCATGCTCCAGGAAAAATATGTATAGTCAGTAAAATGGACGTCCTGATTTCGAATCCGAAGAGATTTTCAACCTATCTTGGCTCCTGATAACATTTTCCGGAAATTGGGGTATTTCCATGGCTGTTTGAGATCACTCTGTGAATAAAAGAGATGAGGAGACAATTTGAAAAATGTCCCTAGGTAATGAGATCATCTTCATGCCTCTGCTGTCGGTGTTGAAAAAAAAAGTTTTTCGTTCATTTGGGATCCTTTTGAAAATTCCGAAATTGTTCACAGTTTCAGGTGACACCATGTAGCGATTTTATAAAAAGAACCTCATGTTTTGATTTGAAGTACGAGATCATAGCCCAAGGATTGGGCTGGCGAACAGTGTGATCCGAATTCAAATTGTTCAAAGCAGAACAAAGTTATTCATATTTCAACAGGAACAAAATTTTGGGATGCAACGAAATTAGTGTTGTGTAGTTTATAATCTTTGATCTACTCGTTTGGCAAAAATAATTTTCCAATAGAGAAACCTTGTCGTCGTTACCCCACCTACTCGAGTAAGGCACGTGTGGTAAACGATAAACCCTGCGGTAGGGCCGAACTACTACTCTATACGTAGCGTATGGCAACGTCATTGTTTTCTTCGTTAAAATGGCCATGCACAGAATGCACACGGTTTCACTATAGGAAAATTATTTTTGCCAGGCGTGTATACTCTATCAGGGCAGTGTTGCCGCTTGAATCAGGAAGTCGAGGCAAATTCGATATTTAGAACCTGTTCGAACAGATAACTACGTTGATTGTGTATCAAGGCAATGCAGCTCATAATATTATTTCTCTGAATGAAAAAAGTCGAGGTATGATATTGTCATTTCACTGAAAAAAAGCGAAAAATTCCCTATTATTGATAATATTTGCACTGAGCCAATTACCTCAGTTACGAACTGAGTTATTCATTTGTTGTATCAATACTAGAAATATTTCGTATTTGCCTGGCGAGATCCACCTTCCTGTCGAGTTTGTAAAACAAGTCTACTAATTGGTTGAAAATAAATTCATGACATTCTCACACAAAACTCCTTTTCCTGAAAACAATGTTCGTTTTACTGGATGGATAGATGAAATTGAACATTTCCGTTTTAGGATTATAAGGGACAAAAATGCAATAATGTTTTCGCTAGGTTGTCTGAGACTGAAAATAAATGCCCTGAGGATATGTTAGAAAAAAATTTCGATTCGAACTACACGATTTCTAAAAACAAACACTTCACTGGAACAACTGACTTCGTAGACAAGGATGAAATCGTTCAAATAAGGCCTCAAAAATTTGAAATCATACTAAGAAGAGGAGAAGGTACTGTATGAAGTATACTGTTTTCATAAATCATTAGTGGGTACAACCCTGTAAAAAATAGTCAACATCTGTCATCGATGTTTGAATGGTTTGTCAGTGAGCAGGGCATTGAAGCTAACATTTTTTTATCAAGAATCTCAAACATTTCAATAGTGTTGATAAGTATTAATTGCTCATAAAGTTTTGATCAACATATAGGGCGATACATATTTTTAGAATTTTTAGAATTCATCCCATTTCAATGCATATCCCAATAATGCCATACATCACCTGAATTTGGGATCTCAAGATTACTTTTGATATTTAATTCGTTTTGCAAGATATATTCAGGAGTAACACTATAAGTACTTCAAAATATTCGGGGTACATATCGATAGCTTGTTGCTAATATTCTGGGGAGGATTAATCTGTAAAAATGACACGATTTGTGATTGTGCAGGAAGTTTGGGATGTATAACCTTGAAGATTATGAAGTTCGAATTGTATTCCATGCGATTATCTTTTGAGTGGTTCTGAACGAACATCAAAATTTGTTTGTATGTATCACAATGTGAATTGGTTACTATGAAAATGGAAATGGAAATTATTCTAAATTTCTGATTGGTGGAACTACTTATGTATATTCGGAGGTAATATCCCGAGATCCCGTCATTCCTTGCTCGCACAAGACTCTCGAAGACTTTTGAGGGTTGCTCGTAAGGGGGCAACCGAATGACGGATAGAACAATTTTAGAACAATTTTAGACCGCATGACAATAATTAGCCGACTATTATTTTCACTCATAATTACACGAACGCTTTTTTTTTGTAGAAGTAAACTTGACATGTATCGATAAGAACCATATTATCAATAGAGACGGAAAATGTATTCAAGAAACGAAAAAGTCGATATGTTCTCAATATGCAATTTTGATCAACACACAAATGAAGAAGAAAAATGATTGATGCAATCGATTAACTGTCAAACACATAAAACTTTTTGTGTAGGTACACCGCCTACTAAGTGAAATAATTATGAAAAAATAGACTGATAGCCCTGTAGATCATCGTATAAGAGGAACAATTTTAGATTTATTATTGAAAATGGGAAGATCATGTGATCGATTCATGGCGAAAATTAAAGACAGATAGTTTCTGTACGAGTATATAACTGAATTCGAAAAAAATGTTCCGATGTTAGATTCCTCAATATCATGAGTTATTTTCGAAGGTTTTCATCTTGACTCGAACAAGCTATTGACAACCTACAGACATTGATCAGAATATCAAAACATTTTGAATAATATCGGTTTACTAATGATATTTAAATTTCAAAGCCTACCAAGTGTCGATATATCATCGAATTCATGTCACAGCCAACTTATTCTTTTTGAATAAAAAGCAATTCGTTAAGTTCGTTATGTGCGCTACCATTTATTATATAACCCCTGTGAATTTCAAAATGTTATCTCTTCGAATAAAAAAACTCCAGGCTGCTACATGTCTCCTGTGTCACCCGGTATATACATAAAGAAATACATTGAGAATTCGCATTCTCTATGTGATGACAATATCAATTCTTTCTCGGTTGATTCAACAGAAAACAACCACTTTCCTGGTAATATGCCACGACTAACATTGAATTATAGGTATTGAACACACGATAAGGATTTAAAAACAAAATCTTCTGAAGTAGAGCATTTGCAATATCTCTCAAATAAAGATATGCGAATATTAACATTCTGAATATTCCAAAGAAAACAACTACTTTTCTGGCTATTTGAGAAATTATATCTGTTGAACATCCAAATATAGAGAGCATGAAAAATGTAAATTCTCTGAAATTGAGAATTGACATTATCTCTCAAATCGAATTGAATAATGATGTATCATGATATAAAAATATAACTTACCAATATGTTCAATATTGAAATGAAAATTGAAATGTATGGGAGAAGTATACTTGTATGAACTCTGATCTTGATGAGCTTGGAACTTCCAAGAAAAAGAATCACTAATATGGTAATTATATCTCTCACAAACAGGTTATATGACCTCACTCGAATAAAACTCATTCCGGATATCAAATCCTCATCAGTCACCTGAAGTCCAGTCATTCTTTCAGCTATTCTTCATGATATACACAATTTTCATCTCTCTATAATACAACTAAAAGTTGAATTGAGAAAACTCAATCACAAATCTGCGATTGAGGTCTATAGAGAATACAAATTTATATTTTATTTATATACCATTATTTCTCATCTCCAAACCTTTTTCAATACAAATTGTCACTGACAAGCTAGTGAATTTTTCTTTTAGGCTCTCTGATAGGAAAATTCTTTAAACGCAGTGACAATTTGGGGCGACAAACTATAAGTATATTGAAATAATATTCATATTTTTATTTTATAGAGATGAGGAGGGAAAATCCCAAGGAAATCTTGAATAATGAATGTACCACCTCCTTGATTAACCTACAGACAGTATTCAACATTGAAATATTCAATATTTTCGTAATAAGAACTTCAACACCCTATATCTCAATATCTAACCGTTTTAGAGTATAGGTCGCGTGCACGAAGACCGACCCTGGAGGCAAAATATCGAAACACAACCTCATTCTTCTGTGAATTATTGAAACACAACCTCATTCTTCTGTGAATTATTGAAACACAACCTCACTTTTTTATTTGGCAACAGAGGAATCAAAAGGTTGAAATAGTTTTTCACAATATTTTGGCATACGAATCGTGTTTCTTGCGTTATTCATTAATTCAAGCATGCCTTCGCATTGTGCTGTTGTACAATGCACAAAAAATGCTGCAAGAGACTAGGGAATATGATTTTTCAGGTAAATAGTAATCTCACATAGTTAGCATTATGAAATGTTGTCATTCCTTATTGAAATTCCTTCTGCCTTCTGCCACTTCTGCAATTCAAGCTGATGCTGCTAATAGATTGAAAATGTCTACAACACACACGATCGTCAGCATGTCAGACCAGTCCTATCGATTGATTGCATGAATCCAATCTTCTTGCATTATTCTAGAAATTTCAGGTATATTTCTATTAGCTGATCCTATTGCAGAAGGAATTCCGATGAGAAATCAGAGAAATAACCAAATTTCAAAAATGAAAACTATGTGAGTGACTATAGTAGGTACTTACTTTTGAATCATAATATACCATCCGGATTTCTTCATCTTTTGCTGCAGTTTTTGTGCATTTTACAACAGCACAATGTGATGGCATTAGCGAATTGATGAATAGCGGAAAAATACGATTCATATGCCAAAATAATTGTGGAAACTATTTCCATCACTTGTAAACAAATATGTTTTGCCTCCAGGGTCGGTCATCTGACAGTTCTTGCACGCGACCTATATTATGTTCATGAGAATTCCTGGAGTATCATTCATCGAAGCTTCATCACCTTGTAGAAAAGAGGGTAACCAAGATGTTTACGTTCAATCGATGTCTTATCTAATCAGCATGTTTTGTCAGACTAGTATAGGGATCGTTTGTTGACACATATTTCATCAAGAATCAATATATGGGACCTATTGCTCAATAGCTACAAATTCGATTCTAAAACATTAGTAGTTTAGATTGGAGGATCAACAGGGTGTCTAAGAACAACGTACATTAAATTCAACAGGGTGAACTAGAGTTCAAGATAGGTCGATTGGGACCAACTTACCTTTATACGAAAATGCACCATTGGGCCGTGAGAGGGCGATGAATGGAATTTTTTTCAGATCTTATTGAATATTTCAGAATCCTTCAGAGGTAATGATCTGAAATTTGGTAGGCAGTCAACTATAAGAAGTGTGCATAGATAACAGGTCTCATCAGTGCAATCGATATACAGGGAGATACAAATTTAGTATTCTGTTTGGAAAAAATCCATAGAACTTTTTTTGAGTACGCCACTGACAATATTTCAATATTGCCTTGAGTAACAAAACCAATTATCTATCTTTTTTCTCACCACATTTTTTTCTAAATTCTGCACGTTTTACGAGATATCTGAAAAAATTCTATAGGAGTCCCTCCATATCATCCATAGTCCAAGATATCAAAGTTATTGTGCTCTGCAGGTTTCTTCCTCCTCCATGTTGATATTTTGATCACGTATTCATGTTGATTATTTAATAACCTTTTCATCATACAGGATGGCCTATTTTCAACTTGACAGGGAGATTTTGGGTGATAATAGCGTAGATACGAAAAAATGCTCAGATCGGATACCTTCTGTGAATTTATGTAGTGATTTTGATTCGAAGAAGGATGAATAGAAAATCATTATTATTCCTATTATTATTTATTATTATTATTATTATAATTATTCTTTGTCTCTGAGATACAGTTTATTTTTCAATTATTGATTTGATGAACTCATCTGATGAAGAGCTTGCTAAAATGAATATGATATCTGTGCCGCCGAACTCTACTAGAGCTTAGCCATAGCACCAGTGCGAGAATATTGCGCCTGGTGCGCAGGTCGCATGAATGACTTCATCATACTTTTTTCTTGAAGAAGGAGAATTTTTCTTGAGGAAGGAAAATATTGTTTCTGCATAAAAAATGAGAAAACCTAACCTATCTATTTTATGAGTATATCTGTACTTGTTTCGTTGACCTGTGTAAAACTTGATGTTTATTAACACCAAATAAAATATTCTAGAAGGAGAATTTTTCTTGAGGAAGGAAAATATTGTTCCTGCATAAAAAATGAGAAAACCTAACCTATCTATTTTATGAGTATATCTGTACTTGTTTCGTTGACATGTTTGTGTAAAACTTGATGTTTATTAACACCAAATAAAATATTCTATTCTATTCTAACCTAACCTAACCGAACCTCACCTCTGGCCTAAACATAGAAAACCCCTAAATGAACCTATTTCCCATAGAGAATATTTTTTAGAAATCACTTGAGAACAAGAAAAAAATAAAAAAAAGATGAGCCTCGCACGGATTCGAACCCCGGCCCGCCGGCTTGGCATGCCGATGCTCTGCTTACTGAGCCAACCAGTTGCTTACGAGACGAAGTATGATGAAGTCATTTATGCGACCTGCGCACCAGGCGCAATATTTTCGCACTGGTGCTATGGCTACGCTCTAGTCCGAACTCTCAACAGAACGGAAAAAACCTGCAAACGACTTTGATTGTTAGCAGGAGGTGCAAACTAAAATCGACCGATCTGAGCATTTTTTCGTATCTACGATATTATCACCCAAGGATTACCTCTCAAGGGTTTTGAAATATTCAATAAAATCTGAAAAAAAAATTCCATTCACCGTCCTCTCACGGCCCAACGGTGCATTTTCGTACAGAGGTAAGTTTGTCCCAATCGACCTATTTTGAACTCTAGTTCACCCTGTTGAATTTGATGTTCGTTGTTCTGGGACACTCTGTATAATTTTTTCAAATAAATGGTGGAATCTGGTGGTTGAGGACGCATTCGAATGCCCCTTGTTTTATATAATATTTTATTCCCAACAATGTAATACCTACTAGAGGAAAGTTTTCATAGAAAAACTTATTTTAACTGAAATCAGTTTCTAACGGTCATGTCCAATTTTTGCTGTTTTTGTACACGATCTCAAATGTTGATTTTTATTTCGTTCTTTGTTTTCTGTTTTCACCTGATCTGATTTCTGTATCTGGTGTTATCTAGTGATCTGAACTGAAGTTGAAACCACCAGAAAATCACTAAAAAACCCCGCACGAAAACACGGGAAATTGGCTCTTGGTCGAATTGGCTGAAATTATACTATGTTGTTGTGGGATGGCTCATTAGGAAAATATGTGAGTTTGAAAAGTTTTGTATGTTTAGTTTCTGAGATATAAGCCGACAAAGTTCGTAAAAACGTCGTATGGGGGTAGGATTGACAAAGAAAAAAAACTGTTTTTTCAGTATAAATAAGGCGAAATGAGCTAGAAAATGTATTGATCGGAACTCAAATACATGTCTAGTTATGATCAAATAAATTATAGTAAATCAGGGTGTATACGAGACACGGTCAAAAAATTCATTTTTCGGAAAAAAAATTCGAGCACTATTCCAAAACCAACAAGTTATATTTTGGTGGGACATTATAGTTTTAGTCTATTGTAGGCTTCGAAAACGTATTTTGATTCTTGATAACCATCTCTGTTCGAAATATGAATTTTTAGAATTTTGTGTTACACCCTTTTTTGAAAACAATTGACAGCTTGTTTTTGATCACAAAGAAAGGGATTGATTGATACTATTGATTGAATGAAAGCTGATGTGACTCACTAGCGAATTCAGTTGTTCAATATTGCCTTTCATTTAGATACAGGGTGTGTTAGATTTTGTTGAAGATTATTCAACATGTTTCAATTGAATATCTCGAAAACAGTTCCGTTGATTTGGATCTCATTTTACTAACACTATTTTGAATATGTTGACTATCATATACAAGGAGTTTTTCAATTTTTTATGTCTCTTTTCTGGGATATCAATTTTGGAGTTTACAGGATTACAGGTATTATAGGGTTATTTCCTCGGATATCACTATCGATTCAACAGAACTTCACGGAATCTTTCGAACATTCAATTACATCATGAAACTATTAGAAATCAATAATTTTCTACTATAAACAACACGAACCACAGTATGAAACTCAACAGTATGGATTCTGACATAGTTCTGTTGAATCGATAGAAATATCCGAGGTAATAACCCTATAATACTGTAAACCCAAAAATGCATATCTAAGAAACGAAACATACAAAATTGAAAAACTCCTTGCATATAATAGTCAACATATTCAAAATAGTGTGAGTAAAATGAGATCCAAATTAACAGAACTGTTTTCGAGATATTCAATTGAAACATTTTAAATAATTTTCAACAAAATCTAACACACCCTGTATCTAAATGAAAGGCAATATTGAAAAACTGAATTCGCTAGTGAGTTACCTGAGCGTTCTTCAACAGTATTAATCAATCCCTTTTTCTGTGATCAAAAACAAGCTGTCAATTGTTTTCCAAAAGGGGTATAACACAAAATTCAGAGAATTCATATTCCGAACAGAGATAGTTATCAAGAATAAAAATACGTTTTCGAAGCCTACAATCGACTATAAGTATATAATGTCTCACCAAAATATAACTTGTTTTGTTGGATTTGGAATAGTGCTAGAATTTTATGACCATGCCTCGTATACACCCTGATTTACTATAAATTATGTGATCATAACTACACATCTATTTGAGTTCGGATCAATACATTTTCTAGCTTATTCTGTCTTATTTATACTAAAAAAACAGTTTTTTTCTTTGTCAATCCAACCCCGATACGTTTTTACGAACTTTGTCGGCTTATATCTCAGAAACTAAACATACAAAACTTTTCAAACTCACATATTTTTCTAATGAGCCATCCCACAACAACATAGTATAATTTCAGCCAATTCGACCAAGAGCCAATTTCCCGTGTTTTCGTGCGGGGTCCTTTGCAAAACGCGTGAGTCACATTTTTTTCAATTCTACCCGGTTGGTGGTTTTTTGAAGGCCAATATGCGACTTTCGGAAATCTGAGTTGGCAACATTGATTATTTCCAGATATACTGTCAGGGGGAGCCAGAACGGAAATGTAATGCCATGTATAGTTTATGCAAAGTCAGTTGAAAAAACACATCAAGAGTGCGGCAGCGCGGCCCGACATTCGTTTGATGATCTGTTCAACACACTTTGCATAAACTCTACCGACCTTAATGAATGTTTTCAGCTGTGAATATAAGTTTCACATACAAGCCAGTGGCTAACTACCCCTTGGAGTTGTACTTCCTTGGTGACCTCAGTAGCTCGATGTTGCCCAGCCTGGAATACGTGAAGAAACTGGGACACGATTTGCCAGACACTCTCAAAACCCTTTCCAAGAACTACAAAATAGCGTACGGGTCGTTCATGGACAAACCTGGCATGCCGTTTTACTTCACTGACGAGGAGAATTTCAGAAACCCTTGCTTTGCGACGACGATGGGCAGTTGCGAAATGGGTTATCTTTTCAAGCACAGGCTCAATTTTACAGGAGATACACACGAATTCGACGAGAAGGTAAAAACTGGAAAGGCGGCGGGAATTTTTCGCTATATATAGCATTGTGTCTCGAGTAGCACACATATATTGGGACAATATCGGTGTAATATTACGAAAATATCGGCAAAATATTGTGAAAGTAATATTGGCGAGAAAAAAAATGTGAACATTCGGCGATATTGGTACAATATCAGTTTCCAAATGTGAGTAGAATATTGAAAATCAGCATGTTGCAATGTCGTTTCGAAGGAAATTGTGGAATATTCTTATATCAATATTGGTTGAATATTCGTAAAGTTATATTGGTCACAAAATGTAATATCAATATTGGCGAGATATTGATGGTGAACATTTGGCAATATTGGTGCAATATTATATGGAAATATCGGTGACATTGAAAATCATCAGTCGAAATAATATTCAAAAATGAGTCGTCGAACTCAAATAAGAAATATTGCATAACCGCTTCAGAATCGACATGGGGAGAATGTTTGAATTGCGATATTGGTTATAGTTGTTGGAAACAATATGTATACGATATCATCCGCGTGATAAAGTTGAAATGATATCAATCAATATAGGTAAATTCAATGTTCCAAATATTGTTGAAACAATATTCTACCAATGTACCGTCGGACTCGAACATACAATATTTCATAACCGCTTCAGAATTGATATTGGGAAAATGTTCAAATTGCTATATTGTTTATAATTGTTGGAAACAATATATGTATACCCTAATAGCACACAACGTCCTAGGGACGTCCCTATTCGGTACAATTCACGTCCGAATGTCCCGAACCAAAAATAAGTGTCTTTGGGACGTCCCATCCCGTAAATCTCATGCAATGTCCGAGCAAGGACGTCCACGGAATGTCCCAGCTGGTACATCATTTCAAATGTCCTAGGAATAGCATTCCTTAAACGTCCCACGTGGTACATATTATAGAATGTCCATGCAAGGACGACCTTGGCATGTCCCTGTGGGATATTATTTTGAACGTTCCTTTAGGGACATCAATCGGATGTCCCGAGTAGTACATATTCTGGCATGACTTCAGATCTTATATAATGTCCCTTCTAGACAACCATGAAATGTCCCTGATGGTACATTCCTTCAAATATCTCTGCACAGACTCCCTTAATATCTCCAGGATCGTATAACAATCGAAATGACCCTTAGGGACATCCTTCGAATGTCCCTTATTGGGATATCCGTCTGAATGAAAACAAAATAAAATAAATAGTTGAACGTTGCCTAACTCTTTTTTCATTCCTCATTTCTTATTTCATCTCAGTTCATGTATAAACGTTTCCATTATAATACGTATGTTGTACTTCCTTATCTTATTTATTTTATCTCATTTTCTGTATAAACCTACTGTTATGCTTCGTGGAATAGTTTAGCAAAATACCACTCTCTTCTGAATGTCTTCTTATAATTCTGTCTCAGCAATGAAGTGACATAATTATTTCGAATATTCAGAAAATCTTAATATTACTGTAGATGAATCTTTTTTTTTTCTATATTTAGATACAGGATAGTCAAGTAACGGCTAACGTAGATGATTTGGACGGTGCACTAGAAGCAATTCTACAAATTTTGGTGTGTGGAAAGAAAATCGGATGGTCGGAAAATTCTCGAAAAATAATCCTTCTAGCAACTGATAGTTTGTTGCATATGGCTGGTGACGGTATCTTAGTCGGAGCAGTAAAGAGACCTACCGAAGAATGCCTACTGGATGACAATGGCAACCATTCGCAGCCGTTCAAGTACGATTACCCATCTATGGAACAAATAGTAACAATTCTGAGACAGAAAAAGGTTAGCAGTGGCTGGGATGATCTAGGATGATCCAGTGTTTTCACTTGTAATACCACTAGAGGTCAAATTATCTCCGGAATTTTCGAGCTCATGGATATTATTTTGAAAATTATTCCGAGTCGAAGACAGAAATTAAATAATTTCAGAATTCATTTGTTCATTCATAGAAATTCAACACGTCTCGATATGACCTCCAATTTTTTGAATAGGTTTACATGCGAGCCATTTTAATTAAAGAAAATCTTAGCCTATGAAAAATATGTGGCTTATTACATATGTTATCACGTGAACTCCTGGTTTCATGATGACGAAAATTATCACTACCTAATGAACGATTTTGTTTCAGGTTAATATAATCTTTGCTGTGAAAACCAAGAAGAAAATGGACTACTATGAGGCCATGAGTAGAAGTTTAGTAAAAGATTATGGTTTCGTTGGACAACTAGAGGAAGAATCTACAAATATTTTAGATTTGATAAAACAAGGTAAAAGCATTCATGGCATAGGTCGCATGCACGATGACCGACCCTGGAAGTAAAATATTGGATCACAACCTCACTTTTCTGTGAGAATTATTGAAACACAACTTCACTTCTTTATTTGTTTACAGAGGAATCAAAGGATTGAAATAGTTTTTCACAATATTTTGGCATATAAATCGTGTTTTTTGCGCTATTCATTAATTCAAGCATGCCTTCGCATTGTGCTGTTGTACAATGCACAAAAAATGCAGCGAGAGACGAAACAATATGATTTTCCAAGTAAATAATAATAATAATGCGTCTTTATTTCCTCAAAAGAATATTACATAGTAACATGAGGCATAGGTGGTATGTGCATCAGGCGAAGTTTAGCTAGGAAGCTATTCTTACACTTAACCTGTGCTCGACTTATAACCTAATCCTAATACTAATCCTGAAAACCTGAATCTAGCTTGACATCTACATTTTCACTTATCACATGTAAAGTATGATTCAACAAATTTTTCTTAATTTTTTTACGGAATTGCGTCGATGCCCTAACAACACGAGTACGTCCCAGGGACGTCCTTCATTTTCTACGAGGACGTCCCTGGGATATCCTGTGTCGGGACATGGTACATACTAGGGACGTCCCAGGGATATCCGCTTTCCACAAAAAGAGGCATCCTAGGGATGTCCTTCTGATACGTCCCTGGGATGTACCAAGTACGAAGAAAGGATATCCCTAGGACGTCCCAAGGATATTCTAGGGACATCTCTTCGACAAAAGAAAAAAAAAAAAGGGTAGTCGAGTACGGATTGAACCCGGGACCTTTGGCTCATCAGGCACGCTTCTTACTCCATTGGCTATAGAGCCTCCTAAAGATTTATGTACTGAACAAATTTATAGAAAGGACTTAACTACAGAAACCTGAATAAATACAACTTTGTTAGGATTTGGGTATAATTATATCATTCTTGGGTGTTTAAAGATGAGGAGCATTATGCATGTACGATTTCTGTTTGCGAAAAATGGTAATTTCTCAAGAAGTTCTGAAACTTTATTCTTTATTTTCATTACGATTATTTTCCGGAAGAAAAACAAATATCTCCATAAAAATGCAACTTTGATGAAATTCAATGACTCTGATGTGAATGGATATCAGATATTCCAGGGACACGAATAGGATAACCTAGGGATGTACCGGGCGGGATGTCCACTGGACAACCACTGCGCGACATCCCCTGGATGCCCCAATAATGTCCTTGTACCGCGGGACAAAAAAGGGACGTACCTAGGACATCCCTGTGTTGTTAGGGTGGTGATTGTTTGAATTCAATTGGTAATGAATTATACAGTATAACCGAGTTGTATGTGAAGCTTCTTTCAAACAGAGACGTGGTGATGAGGCAATTGTTAATTTTAGCTGATGTCTAACATTTATATTATGGACATTTTGTCTGAAAATTAGTTTTTCTCTAAGATACGCTGGAGGAATCCTTATGCAACTTGTGAATGAAAAATTGCTCATATATTATCTAACCACTGAAGTTCCCTGAGTTTATGGGACACATGATTATATTTTATCAAATTGAAAATGAGTCGACAACATGTATTTTGAATTTTCTGGATTCTGTGAATGGTTCTTTGTTCTAAACAGGGAAAATAAACGATGTTACAATGCTGGAAAATTGACAATACGAGACACTCACATAATTGTTTTTCCAGATTCAAACTCATGATGCTCTTGTTTGCGAAGAGCAATCTTAATCGTGCATATGAGCGCTGTATTAATGTCTTTCATCTATGATGAGTCCTAGATTTTTCGATGATGTCGAGTATTCTAAAGATGTATCCCCTATGTGCAATTGTATACTTTGTTTGAGCTGTTCTCACACTCCTTCAGAACAAAATAAGATAGCTACACTTTTGATGGAATTCAATGTTAAATTATGCTGAACAGCAGGACTCCTCCACAAACTACCATCATACGGCTTACCACCTCAGCTATGCCATCTCTTATCGAGTTTTCTTTCAGGCAGATCGCTTCACGTGGTGGTGGACGGTGTATCGTCTGATACCATTGGCATCAATTCCGGCGTCCACAAGGATCAATTTTGGCACCAACATTATTCCTGCTTCATATCAATGATCTGTTGGGAGTAACAACTTGCCCCATCCACAGCTTTGCAGATGATAGTACCCTCCATACTGCTTTCTCTTCCAGAATTCCCATTTCTTCCCAGGAAACTAAGACCTCACGGCGCAGGCAGGTCAATGCTGTCAATGAAGATCTTGCTGAAATCACAGCCTGGGGAACAAACAACCTAGTTGAATTCAACGCCACCAAAACTCAAGCCTGCATTTTCTCTAGAAAGGCGGAACTCAGTATGCCCGATATTGTAATGTCTGGCTCCACCATCCCCACCAAGCCCACCATATCTATGCTCGGTATTTCCATGCATCAGCAACACTCTTTCATGGGATAATCATGTCAGATCCATCGCAAAAGCTGCTTCCCAAAAACTCGGATTCTTGTTCCGTGCGAAAAGCTACTTTACACCTCAACAGCTTCTCATGATCTACAAAGCGCAGATACGACTTGTTCTAGAATACTGTTCCCACATATGGGGTTCAGCACCAAAACATACGCTGATGCTCTTAGATTCCATCCAGAGAAGAGCCATTCGCCTGGTGGGTGACGCCACACTCACTCACTCTTTGACATCTTTAGAACACCGTAGAAAGGTCGGTGACCTTTCACTTTTCTATCGATACTTCCACGGGAAATGTTCTTCGGAAATCTCTGCTATCATCCCTTCACTAGCAATACCAATCAGACGAACTAGACAAGCCCAGTCAGCACATCCTTTCGTTGTCAACCTCGAAAGATGTCGAACAGCACTTTATCAAGACTCCTTCATCCATAGAACAGCTAGGCTCTGGAATTCATTGCCTGTGGAAGTATTCCCAACAACATATAATCTCCAGAAGTTCAAAAAAAATTCCAATACCTACCTCCTGTCCCTATCCTCCCTAGGAACGCACGATGTTCTTTGAACATTATAGGGATTACCTCTCGTGCGCCGAAAAATACGATTCGTATGCCAAAATAATTGTGAAAAACTAATTTTGTTCTAAAATTTTTGTTCTAAAATTTGTTCTATCCGTCATTCAATCACTTGTAAACAAATAAGAAAAGTGAGGTTGTGTTTCAATGTTGTTCCTCCACAGGGTCGGTCATCTGACAGTTCTTGCACGCAACCTATTATTTTTACACACTTTTGTATTCATAAAAGTTGAATTTCAGGTTATAACAATTTCGCTGAACAAGTTAGTTTTTTCGTCAACTTAACTAACCATGAACATCTTGAAGTGAAATTCTTAGCAGATTGTGATAACACAGGGTACAATGAAACTTCCACTTGCTATGGGGTGAAAAACAAAGAAATCAATTTCACCGCAGAAATACGCCTCAAGGATGATACCATTATGAATGATAGATATAGTGTAAGTAAACCAATTCTGTCTTAAAACCACCATAATCTGTACCTACTGGGTTATCCTGTATATCTGAAGAGCTTCAACAGCGTTCATTATTGAAGATAGAGAAAAACTTCGATAAAAAAAATTGTAGGGTTCGTTCTAAACTTCTAGAAATTTGTACGAGGTCAAGGCCAACTATAATGTGAAAAAATATTTTGATAAAATCTATTCGTTCTTGTTTTGTACACAAGAAACAGATTTTAATCATTTTCATGTCTCCTCCGTAACTTCTTTATTTATGAAAATATCCAAATAGGAATTTCACATTCTAATGGCAGTTTTTCAAAGTGATTTCGAAAAAAATATGAAATTTATACCAACTCTTCTAGAATTTGAGATATCAGCACCAACTTCAGTTTTTCAAATGTAGGTCATAGCTCACTATGACTTAGTTACAAGAAACTTTTTTTCTCTTACAGATGGTATGTCGCAGTAATAGTTTTGTGTTGATAACAACTGAGTTATCGTCATTTATACAAAAACAAAAAATTATTTGGAAGCCGCCATCTTGAATATATAAATTTTAACAAAAAATCATGATCTCCGACCTCAAAAACCCCCACTTACCAATTTTCAATGGAATCGGACTAAATCTTGTCCGCCATCTTGGAGCAGCAATTTTTTTTAATTTCAACAAAAATTCCATAATGTATTAATTGTCACCGAAATTATGAACAGCTGCCAAATTCCAAGTTAATCGGTTATGGAATTTTTGTTGGAATTAAAAAAATGGCTGCTCCAAGATTTGGTCCGATTTCATTCAAAATTGGTGAGTCTTGAGGTCGGAGATCATGATTTTTTGGTAGAAATTCATAAATTCAAGATGGCGGCTTCCAAATAATTTTTTGTTTTCGTATAAATGACGATAACTCCGTTGTTATCAACACAAAACTATTACTGCGATATATCATCTGTAAGAGAAAAAAAAGTTTCTTGTAACTAAGTCATCATGAGCTATGACCTACATTTGAAAAACTAAAGTTGGTGCTGATATCTCAAATTCTAGAAGAGTTGGTATAAATTCCATATTTTTTTCGAAATCACTTTGGAAAACTGCCATGGGAATGTGAAATTCCTATTTGAATATTTTCATAAATAAAAAGGTTACGGAGGAGACATGAAAATGATCAAAATTTGTTTTTGCGTATAAAACAAAAACGAATAGATTCTATCAAAATATTTTTTCACATTATAGTTGGCGTTCACAAACTCCACATTTGGTGTCATTCAACCGACCTCGTATCTCTCACCGTTAAAAAGATACCCATGGTGAGCATGGTAAGTGGGACACACTGTATATGTCCATCATCAGCCTTATGAGAAATAACATAAATAGTGTCATGGGAATAAAAAAAGGTTATGTGACCAACTTTAACATTTCAAAATTTCCTTTGTTTGGGTTTTAAGGAAATCATCAAATGGGGAAACCCAACAAACCCCCGGAAATTACCATACAATGTTTTTTGTAATGACAATCAAATGGCACATATGGATGCGACATTGGAAATGGAAACGTTTCCATTCAGAATGATATGTTTCCATCAAGGATATTCGAAGAAAAACCTGAATGTTTTTTTGGGATTTATTTGTATCTGTTGGACTGACTCACTTGCCCTTCTCCTAACTAATGCCGTTTTTCACTGGTCGTGTTTTATCAAAGATAGGTATACAGATTGCATTATTCCAGTCCAGTGAGGAACGGTATCAAAAACACATCACAATAAAATAAACTATAACTTCAGAAGTGCATCTATGCTGGTTCTGTGTCAATGGCCACGTTTATACCGTGTCTTGGTAAGCTGACTAATGACTATATTTTGACTAAATACTCTTGGTCAGTATGGTATAAACTGTAAACTTGGTAAAGTTACCAGCTACCGAAATTTGTTGGGTGCCTGACTAAAATAGGATGATGACCAAGAAGGTGTAAACATTTTGGTCTACTATTGTATAGCCTATCGACTTGAGTGCAAGTGGCAGTTAATTCATGAGTTCTCATAATATTTCATTCAATTTCAGTTAATTTCGTACCCTACTTAAAGGTTTTATTGTTAATTTACGAATACAAGTGGAGTTCCACAACCTAACCTCAAAAAAATAATCCAATCAAAACAAAGTTGGTAACGTAAATCAACTGAAGGTACATGGTGTGAACATCAAAACTGATGAAGGATCAGGAGCTGGTATATGGGGCCAAGCCAAAGACAAGAATCTCACTGAGCTTAGGCAAATACGCGACGGTGTTTCAGGCAGAAATTATTGCAATACATCATTGCGTGAAAGAATTGATAAGGCAAAAGTTTAAAGGCAAAACCATTGCAATCTATTCAGATAGCCAGGCGGCAATCAAAGCAGTCAACTCCATGCAAGTTAACTCAAAACTAGTATGGGACTGCTTAGAAACCCTAAATGCACTGGGCAGTCAGAACAGATTGACTCTAGCATGGGTACCAGCACATACAGGGTACGAGGGCAATGAAGAGGCAGACTCACTTGCCCGAGCAGGAGCAAACAAAGCTCTTAATGGCCCAGAACCCTTCTGTGGTATTGCGAAAGCTATACAAAAGACTAGTATCAAATCATGGATGCAAACCAAATCTCAAGAATGGTGGAACAACTCGCCAGGAATGAGACAGGCTAAAGAGTTTATTAAAAAACCATCGCCAACATTCACAGAATATCTACTAAGCCAGAAACGAAGTTCAACTAGAATACTAGTGGGACTTCTCACAGGGCATTGTAGGCTCAACAAACACATGAGTACGATAGGTCTGACTGAAGAACTGCTGTGCAGGTTCTGTCAAGAAGAGGAAGAAACAGCAGTACACATACTTTGCCACTGTGAGGGCTTGTTAAGACTAAGGTTCCTTACGCTGGGTGAGGAAAGGCCAGGAGCCCAGAGATACACAGGAGATCTGAAAGCTAGCCTATGGAGTCTCATAGAGAAGGCGGGGCTAGCCGAAGAACTCTAATCGATTTTGAGGGCAGACACAATAGATCTGAAAAGGTCGCAGTGTGGAGGCAGATAGCCCGAAGGCCCCATTCCAAATCTAATCTAATCTAATGGTGTGAACATGCGTTAACTAAGACATTTGACCTGAATTTAGTGAGATCTCCTTGGTAAGCATACAACTATTCATATGGTATGAACGTGGCCAATATAGCTCCTACCTCCCGCATACAGACGTGTTGAAAGCAACACGCTGTTTCAGGTTTCCGACGCATGCTTGAGATTTCTCTCACTTTTGCGCGCTTGTTTATTCTTCATTGAGGGCGATTGGTATAGAACTGGTTTAGGTATACTACTGATTCCATGTAACAATATTCACATGAATTTACATCATTAGGATACGATCTATATCGAAGAGAAGAATATCAACGAGACAATCGAAATTTCAATTTCATACGTGGGAAACTGTAAATGTCAAGGTGGTCAAAAACTGGGATTGAACTGTAGCCATGGCAGAGAAAGATGTGGGAAGTGTTCATGTGACTCAGAATGGTAAGAATGAGAGAAAAGCCATAGTGGAAGATGGTGTGCTCGACAGAAAGCTCAAACTCGTCTTGTTCTGCCCATTACGTCAATTGGGATATAACTACCATTGTTATTATTTGTTTTCGTGATCAATCTCCCAAGTTCTAAAATTAAATGAACTGATTTCTGAATGCCCACTTGTTTCGTTCCTGGGGTAAAACTGCATTCAACTGCATAATGAAAATGTGAACAAACCATTATTCATTGAGATATTTCACTATAAAGTTACAAATTTTACCTTCTTTTTCGCCGGTGACCTGGATCGCATTTAGAACAACTTGCCGTTTTTTGCACCATTGGACAATTTATATACACTGTGTCCATAAAGTCACCCCCCCCTGGTTAACTTTAGAACGGATGGGATTTTTTTTTTCAATTTTTTCCTGTTCCAATGGTAGTTTCAGTGCTACATATTGTTCAAAAGAAAAATATAGGGGAAGATTTTTTTAAATGGAGTGGGGGGTCGAAAGATACCTCGATTGAAAGGTCTTTCGATTCTCTATACAACCTCAGAATCTCAGACGAAAATATTCATCCAAGACAAAATGGCGGATGATAACGTTTGAAATCTCACACCAGAATTCTTTCGACTAGATGGCTATCAAAGTGCTCGCATGTGATCTTCAAATCTCTATTGGCGTATAGAAGAGTTCTCTATCTATGAAGATATCAATAGGAAGCCATTTTGAAGAGAATAACATGGTAGTCACGTGGAATAAACATTGTTCTTTATTTTGAATAAATATTTCTAAAACTTTGCAGAATTTGGAAAGACAATCGAGCAAAGGTAATAATTGACTACCATGTTATTCTCTTCAAAATGGCTTCCTATTGATATCTCCATAGATAGAGAACTCTTCTATTCGCCAATAGAGATTTGAAGATCACATGCGAGCACTTTAATAGCCATCTAGTCGAAAGAATTCTGGTGTGAGATTTCAAACGTTATCATCCGCCATTTTGTCTTGGATGAATATTTTCGTCTGAGATTTTGAGGTTGTATAGAGAATCGAAAGACCTTTCAATCGAGGTATCTTTCGACCCCCGACTCCTTTTAAAAAAATCTTCCAAAATGGCGCCCAGGCGCCATTTTCGAGGATACATAATTTTTTTTTATAACAATATGTAGCACTGAAACTACCATTGAAGCAAAAAAAAAATTGAAGAAAAAATTCCCATCCGTTCAATAGTTAACCAGGGGGGGGGTGACTTTATGGACACAGTGTATATCACAATGTACGACACTTTTCTTATATGAGTCAACTAGTTATATGATTTTCTTGTGATTTATCCATTCATTCAAAAGCAATCTGTTGACATTTGATATCTCGTATTTCGATTGACTATTAATTAAATGGCCGTCATCTGGTATGCTTGTTCACTAAATATGAAAAACTCGCTATAAAAATCATATTTCCTGTTGAATTTTCTATATTAAAATGTGTCATTAAAGTACATCATGAGTATAAAGTGTCCAATGACAAAATGAGAAAAGCAAGACGGGGAAAAAGGAGGCGAGATTTCGAACTTGTTCTTAAAATATCTCAATAAATGGTGGTTTCTTCACATTTTCATTATCAAATTCGTGTGTTTCAGACAAAAGTATGTATATACCAAGAAACATTTTCGAAAAAATAAACATCGCATGATAAATGCAGTTTTACCGAACATCTTCCGTCGAATATCAACTTAGAAATAATTGAAAATGTATTCAAAACAGTTAATTTCTCTCAAAATATAAATTGCAGCGAAGATTTGAATAACGAAACGGCAAAAAATGATTCTCCTGTTGTCGATGTCAAAGCAAAAACAACGTCAACGACGTTAACTGCTGAATTTTAATCTGTCAGAATCGACAGGGATGGGATGGGTTGCGTGCAAGAACTGTCAGATGACCGACACTGGAGGCAAAACATTGAAACACAACGTCACTTTACTTATTTGTTTACAAGTGATCGAAATAGTTTTTCACAATTATTTTGGTATACGAATCGTATTTTTCCGCTATTCATCAATTCGCTCATGCTATCACATTATGCTGTTGTGAAATGCACAAAAACTGCACCGGAAGACGAAGTAATCCGGTTGGTACAATATGATTTAAAAGTAAGTACCTACTATAAATAGTCACTAACATATAGTTTTCATTTTTGAAATTTGGTAATTTCTCTGATTTCTCATCGGAATTCCTTCTGCAATAGGAGCTGATAGAAATATACCTGAAATTTCTAAAATAATGCAAGAAAATTGGATTCATGCAATCAATCGGGAGGACTGGTCTGACATGCTGACGATCGTGTGTGTTGTAGACATTCTCAATCTATTAGCAGTATCAGCTTGTATTGCAGAAGTGGCAGAAGGCAGAAGGAATTTTAATAAGGAATGACAACATTTCATAATGATAACTATGTGAGATTACTATTTACCTGAAAAATCATATTCCTTAGTCTCTTGCTGCATTTTTTGTGCATTGTAGAACAGCACAATGCGAAGGCATGCTTGAATTAATGAATAGCGCGAAAAACACGATTCGTATGCAAAATATTGCGAAAAACTATTCCAATCTTCTGATTCCTCTGTAACCAAGTAAAAAAGTGAGGTTGTGTTTCAATAATTCACAGAAGAATGAGGTTGTGTTTCAATATTTTGCCTCCAGTGTCGGTCATCGTGCACGCGTCCTATTGTCTACTCATTGTCGATCTGAATGAAAACCTAGTAGGTGACCTAGTGCGAGGAGGTATAATAAGCTCTTGCCTACTAACTATCTAACTAGGTTGTCATCTAGAACGACAATGGTCTACTTTATAGCATAGATCTCCAGACTTCACTTCTCTTCAGCTGATGCAGAACAATTTTGGATTGCTAATCATCCTTAATTCGATTTATCCAGCTGATATTTCAAACACGAAGAATCAGGCTTCACGTAGAGCCCGACCACGATAACTTTGGGACAGCACGTGGTCGCGTATGCATTGAATATGCATATGCGTTGCGTCACATGCTGTCCCAAAGTTAACGTGGTCGGACTCTATATAATGAATTCGAGGCAGGCATAGACGAGCCGAAATGATCGCCACCTAGAGGCGAAAGTGTGACTTGATGTAGAATGAACAAAATATTCCATTGATATTACATATTTCGTTGCTCTATTCAAGCAAATGATCCGTTCTAAACGAGTTCATTGCTACATCTGAATAAGAAAACTTGTATGTTGTTTCAAATATACAGTAAGATGCAAATGTATGGAATAAATTCATTTCAAAACAAGACGACTTTCGAAAAAAAAACCAAAAACTAGAGTTTAGAATTTTTTTTTCGACGTATTTTTTCAACTAGACGACCCTTCGATGTTCAATTCTCAGTAGCAGACCTCTGCAAGATTCAATTAATCACATGATAATCCATTTTAATTTCAATCTTCTTATGCAACATTTTGACTGTTGAATAGACGATCGGTAGACCTTTCAATCAAGGTGTCACATGACCCCTATTTGTATTTGAAAAAATCGTCCATCACGTCTTTACTCCAACACCGGTGACGTAACATCTCTCATATGAATATCATGAGATGAGGCTTCAGAAATTAAAACTCACGTGTTTTTGGAATTTTTTCAAATGTCGCCCATTTCTGAAATAATGAATTTATTCCATACATTTGCATCATACTGTATATTCTCATCAAAATGATTATTATTTTGGATCGACATAGTTTGTGTTTGAGAAAACCATATATTTTGTTGATGGAATTGATATTAAACTGTTGATTCAATCAGACTATACATTCTTGAACAAGCTGCTTCCATGAAATAATCATGTATCTGGTTGATTCAACAAAAATTGCTCAGTCTAACAAAAATAATTCAATTCAATTTGATGATGCAACAAATCCTTTTTTTTGCAACCGACACAAAAGTCGTCCATTTTGATACCAAAATTAGCTCTCAAATTGACGTTTCTATTGCTGACACAAAAATAGGTATGTTGCTAGGAAACATATTTAGTTCCTAGGAGCTAAAGTTGAATTTTAGTTCCTAGGAGCTAAATTTCAACTTCAGCTTCTAGGAACTAAAAAGGATGTACTGGACGTCATCAAGAATAAACAACATTGTGACGGTTGGTTATTTGGGTTGATACTCATACCTGATTTGTTTCCGATTTCAGCAGATTTGGTATTTCATACCCATGCTGGAGATATAAATACACCTTATTATAGTTCAGTATTGGAATTATAAACATCTCAGTTAAATATTTTTGTTTTGATCAGGGAAGCCTTTAAGATTCAAATACTTGCTTGATCTGTATTTCATTCTTTATTCTCGGGATGGATAACTTGTTTTTGAATAATCACGGCAAGCAATAGTTTTTTTGTCTCGAACAACGATATTGTTTAGCTTCATTTGATTATCAAGTCAAACACAGTGTAGTATGGAGAGGAATAAATAATCCTTATTATCATTGTTGATGTTGATATGCTCACTAACCTAATATTTTCCACGTCTTGTTCCTATACCTGGCACTGGCGCGGTATTTGCTATTAGAGCACCTGGTCTAAACACAAAAATATGTCACTCTGTGTTTTATATTGAAACTACAATTCGAACTTCCTTGAAAACCTAACCTTTTGTTAATGCAGGTAGAATATTCTCACCACACGGATTATTTGTCAATATTTGTTGCATTGCATACATATGGCACGGCATTGGTGGTTACTTCACATGTTTATTTGAGTTAATTGTTTCGGTTGCAGAAAAAATAGCATGTTTCATTCGGATCAAAAGTGACTTTGTTCGACTCGCAAATTTCGCTTTCGCTCGGCTTCGCTAAAACAATCTACTATTTTTCCGTGACCGGCAAGTCTATGAGTGTATAAACCAGTTTGCGAGTTTTTTCAAGAGACTGCTTGTGTGTAGTGATTTAATCTGAAAATCATGGGGAATATATTTTAGGACTGGTGAAAATTGCGATAAACCATGCAAAGGCGCTGATCTACATCGTTGTAGAAAAGAAGAAAATGGTACTATTTCGAGGATATGTTCTAGAAAGTGAGTAGATATTTTCCAATTTTCATTTTTCATTTTGTTTGAAGATTTGTAGACCATGATTCGAACCATGAAGCCAAGTTTATCCCCATTTTGATGGCTGAAGAACTGCGATTCTTCAGTTTGCCCATTTTATTATAAGAACGGACACTTTGTTCACAAAATGATAATAAAACATGACTTACTCGATCATCCAAACATAGTCTTCGGCACTGTCCCATGTACTACTGAAAAAAATCAAGACTTGATGTTTTTCCAACTCATGTCTAGACCATCAAGCAAATATTTTCATCATCATCCTCATTATTTTTATTGTGTAGGTATACATTGTATGTGACTGTATGTATTTGCCAAGATGGAAATCGTATTCACAACAATTTCTCTCAACTGTGGGTAAATAGTCAACTACAAAAATACACTCGATATATCACGAATTCAGACGGGAACGTCTCGTTTGACCCAATTTTCGAATCGCCCAATTTTCGATTCACCCAATTTTGTGAATAATAATTATATCAATTCACACTAGACGGCATTTGAACCGGTAAAGGCTTGTGTAAACGTGACAACACGGCGCCCGAATTGTGGGCATGGTCTTGTCAGTTCTCAGCATTCAGCACAATGTTGCCAAGTCTCCAATATTTAAATGATATTTTGACATGCTGGTTGCTCGTAAAAGTCAAGAATATTAACTATAATATCATGGGTTGCTCCCATTATGTTTAATTTAACGACAAGACTCTAACATCTTCTTGATAAGTTGATTATAATTGGTTATTTGGCTAGCTTCATGAGTGGGGATGAAAGATTATCTGACCAATAACGAAACAGCATAAAAACTGACGTCGGTACGGTACGATTGAAATGTGCTCTGAAATTCAACAATTTCGAACAACTCATTATATCCATAAAAAAAGTGAGAAGTATTGCAAAAATTGATTTAGGTAGCCCTAACCACACAGTGGAGTAATTGAATACCAAAAATTCAACCAATTATGAATGCAAAAATGATGGCAAATTACCTTTCTTAGATGTACTTGTGATCAAAAATAGCGGAAACATCTTAGAATTTGATTTTCTTAGAAAAGTAACTAGCACATTTAGATACATAACTAATAATAACTCGAAAGATTTGAGGCTGAAAGCAGTGTTGTTTGATATCAAAATATAGTAGATAAATTAATACGTAGATATACATTTTAGTTGACACTTCGAAATTCTACGACTTTTCAAATGGATGAAAAGAACTCTAGTTTGATCCCAAGTATACGAAAAGGACTTGATAAGTTTTTCAAAGACTCAGGTTTTGAAAGCGTTTATCAGTCTGGGTCAAAATTAGGCAATTCATTAGGCGATCCGAAAGATGAAGTGGACACTTAAAAAGTCGGGAATATACGAAATAAGTTGTAATGATTGTGATGAAACATATATAGGCCAAACCAGGCAACTCATAAAAACAAGGTTCGAAGAACACATAGTACATTTAATATATGGTAGGTTAGATAAATCGTGTGTAGCCGAAAATATGTTCAATCACAATCGTAACACACATATTACTAACCTCAAATTAGTTAAGCAAGTTAATACTATTAAAGAATTAGACGATATGAAAGCTTAGACATATTCAAAAATAGTAATAGAGTGATGAATAAGGATAATGGACCTGTTCCATGTCCCAGAATAACGTTCGTATACTCCGGGAGGTCGATCTGCAGATAAAAATAAGAAAAAATGTTCCTTTCAACAGGTGTCCGAAAATGCTTCCAGCCCTTTGAAGGTTGGTCCCTAAATGCAGTTTTCTTCAATTATCTTTGTTACCATTGATCCTAGAATCATGAAATTTTGTACGAATTGGTTTTCGGAAAATCATATTCTAGTACTAGCAAGAAGATACAGTGAGAGACAAAAAAATTGGGACATTTTTATAGCACGGGTTACAAGTTTCGCACCTCCCTGTATATTATATCATTTTTTCCATGCATTCAAACGATTTATGAGATCAAATTACCTATTGGTACAACATTTCATGATTCTAGGGATTCTAGGGACCATCTGTTGACAGGAACATTTTTTCTTATTTTTATCTGCAGATCGACCTCCCGGAGTATACGAACGTTATTCTGGGACACCCTGTATAGTTTAGTTTCATAAAAATTAAGATTAACATGTGAACTCAACCATGACAAACATTAACTTGACGGTTAGTATTTTTCACGGTTATGTGAACATAAATCTAGTAAAATAAGCAGCACAATAGAATAGGGTATTCAGTGCTAACATAGTTAGCGATACAACGTGTCCAGGCGTTCAAAAAATCGGTTTGAACAGTATTGTGAATAATTCTATTTTAGTCCCCTCGCCCATCCAATGATTCATCAGGATACTTCGATACTTGTATCATGAATATCTATTACTGTCACCCTAATAACTTTCTGCATTCGCCATATTTATGATTAATCATCAATAACCCCTACGTATTTCTCTTGAAGCGGCGATTGCATCTGTGGAAACTGCAAGTGTTCATATCCGTACACTGGAACTTACTGCGAATTCAAATGTCCATCAATAGAAGGAAAGATTTGCAGTGGTCATGGGAATTGTGAGGATGGAAAATGCTTTTGCAGAAAAGAGTACGAAGGGGAGAGCTGCTCGTGCTCCACGGCGACCAATAATTGCGATTTTGATGGTGCAATATGTAGTGGACAAGGCAAATGCATCTGCAATCAATGTAAATGCGAAGCTGATTTTTCTGGAAAATACTGCGAATTGAATAAAAAGAATAACACAATTTGTGAGGTCTACACGAGTTTTCTAGCGGATACTGAGAAGAATGAGACCACCCGAATAAAAAGACACGGCATTTATGACGTTCTACCAGTTGAAAAATCGTCCATAGAAGAAATTGAAGGTAAATATCAGTCATGCAATGTACAGGCCGATGAAAAAAAATGCCCCGACCCATAGCGCCGCTATTGATCATCTGATTTTGAAATAGTTATTCATGCTAGTGCTTTATACAGGGTCGTAACTTTTTTGCTATACACTGTATGTCATGTTCGACGGAGAAAAATTGTTATCCCTTCTGTTATACTTAAGAAAGGTATACCCTGTCCAAGTCGCTAGAAGCAATGGTTCCAGTACAAATGCATCTAAAAGCCGACAATGCAAGCAAATTATTCAAAAAGCGCCAAAGTAACTTTTGCAAAAACAATGATAAATACTTCAACAATTACATTTCAACGGTATGATGAAAAATATGATTAATTAGAACGAAACATTAAGTTTCTAGAAGATGTCAGAGTGATTGACTATGGATTTCTCGACTTCAACAGCTGATATCTCGAAAACGAAAAAATATATTTGAAATTTGGAAAAATGTACTCGAATGTGATGTCTTTTCCTTCTAGAAAATGTGTTCTCTGCTTGATTTTATCATTTCATATACAGGGTTTGTGAACAAATTTTTTTTTCGAATGGAGCCCCCTGTATATTATCGCATATTTCGAAAGAACTATCTTTCCTGATTTTGAAAATATATACTTTTCATATATTCTATCTAGGGCTTGACGAAATATCAGCAAATCGAATATCAAGAGAATAGTGAGAAGGCAAGACAACGAAGACGAGGAACTTCTTGTAATCCAGTATTTTGTTGAGGATCCTTCACGGTCAATAAGAAATGCAGTGAGAGAGTTTGGTTTCAGCTATTATTTTGTTCAACATACCTTAAAGAAATATAAATATAGGGATTTCAGAATTAGACCATGCCACAAACTCAATTATGATGATAATGAGAAGCGGATTGAATTTTGTCTTGTCATATCTGAAAGATTAAATATGAGACAAAGCTATTTTGACGATATCATTTGGACAGACGGGGCTTGTTTCACTACCAGTAGTATGTTCAATAGACGGAACTCGCATCATTGGGCATCCGAAAACCCGCATGCTTTTCAAGCAATACAGAAACAAGGTCGGTCGTCTATTCTTGTTTGGTGTGGCATTCATAATGGAAAAATATTGGGACCAATCTTCATAGATGAGAATTTGGATCAGAGAAGATACCTGAGCCTACTTCAAAATGAAATTCAAGATTTCATAGACGAAAGGCCACTACCTTTCGTCTATGAAATCTTGAAAAATAGCTTTGTCTCATATTTAATCTTTCAGATATGACAAGACAAAATTCAATCCGCTTCTCATTATCATCGTAATTGAGTTTGTGGCATGGTCCAATTCTAAAATCCCTATATTTATTTTCCTTTGAGGTATGTTGAACAAAATAATAGCTGAAACCAAACTCTCTCACTGCATTTCTTATTGACCGTGAAGGATCCTCAACAAAATACTGGATTACAAGAAGTTCCTCGTCTTCGTTGTCTTGCCTTCTCACTATTCTCTTGATATTCGACAAACTGGAAGTTCCGTCAGATTTAGCAGCCAAATACTTTACATAATTCTTACTTGGTAATCTCCTGCCTGGATAACTCCTCATAAACTTACGAAGTGTTTCAGCAAGATTTTTATTAACTGAAAAATATCAGGCCAAAATATCTCTTTTTTGTTCCAGTGGATATGACATCGTGAAAAAATTGTCGAAATTTTGCGCATAAGTGCACTGGAATGTTGACCAAATGTCAATTCATTTATTCATCATCTCATTCTATTTCAACCATAGCTAGCTTGGACCAAATATTAATATTTAATTTTGCTGATATTTCGTCAAGCCCTCGATAGAATATATGAAAAGTATATATTTTCAAAATCAGGAAACATAGCTCTTTCGAAATATGCGATAATATCTAGGGAGTTCCATTTGAAAAAACATTTTTTTCCACAAACCCTGTATATGAAATGATGAAATCAAGCGGAGAACACATTTTCTAGAAGGAAATGACATCGCATTCAAGTACCTTTTCCCAAATTTCGAATATCTTTTTTCGTTTTCGAGATATCAGCTGTTGAAGTCGAGAAATCCATAGTCAATCACCCTGTAGTTCAATACATTTTTCCATTAAAATTCAAAACCCCTTATCTTTTAACCGAAGGCCTTGCGGACCCAGAATTAACACCGATTCTCTGCAAGTTGTTTACCATCTCGTACAGGTCGGGTATTTTTCCATCATGCTGGAAGACAGCTAGAGTCCAACCAATCCCCAAAAAAGGGAAAAAATACCTGCCCAACAACTACAGGCCCATTGCCCTGTTATCAGTAATCTCCAAAGGGAGAAAGCCATCAATATTGAGCTTATCAAATATCTGGAGAGCTCAGGAATCATCAATGATAGACAATACGGCTTTCGCCACCGAAGATCTACTGGAGATCTACTTGCCTACGTCACCCATTTATGGCAATCTTCAATAGAAAAATACGGGGAATCTCTAGCTGTCGCGTTGGACATGTCGAAAGCATTCGACCGTGTTTGGCACGAAGGACTCCTCCACAACCACTACCATCATACGGTTTACCACCTCAGCTATGCCATCTCTTATCGAGTTTTCTTTCAGGCAGATCGCTTCACGTGGTGGTGGACGGTGTATCGTCTGATACCATTGGCATCAATTCCGGCGTTCCACAAGGATCAATTTTGGCACCAACATTATTCCTTCTTCATAACAATGCTCTGTTGGGAGTAACAACTTGCCCCATCCACAACTTTGTAGATGATAGTCCCCTCCATACTGCGTTCTCTTCCAGAATTCCCATTTCTTCCCAGGAAACTAAGAACTCACGGCGCAGGCAAGTCAATGCTGTCAATGAAGATCTTGCTGAGATCACAGCCTGGGGAACGAACAACCTAGTTGAATTCAACGCCACCAAAACTCAAGCCTGCATTTTCTCTAGGAAGGCGGAACTCAGTATGCCCGATATTGTAATGTCTGGCTCCACCATCCCCACCAAGCCCACCATATCTATGCTCGGTATTTCCATCAGCAACACTCTTTCATGGGATAATCATGTCAGATCCATCGCAACAGCTGCTTCACAAAAACTCGGATTCTTGTTCCGTGCGAAAAGCTACTTTACACCTCAACAGCTTCTCATGATCTACAAAGCGCAGATACGGCCTGTTCTAGAATACTGTTCCCACATATGGGGTTCAGCACCAAAACATACGCTGATGCTCTTAGATTCCATCCAGAGAAGAGCCATTCGCCTGGTGGGTGACGCCACACTCACTCACTGTTTGACATCATTGGAACACCGTAGAAAGGTCGGCGACCTTTCACTTTTCTATCGATACTTCCACGGGAAATGTTCTTCGGAAATCTCTGCAATCATTCCTTCACTAGCAATACCAATAAGACGAACTAGACAAGCCCAGTCAGCACATCCTTTCGTTGTCAACCTCGAAAGATGTCGAACAGCACTTTATCAAGACTCCTTCATCTATAGAACAGCTAGGCTCTGGAATTCATTGCCTGTGGAAGTATTCCCAATAACATATAATCTCCAAAAATTCAAAAAAAATTCCAATACCTACCTCCTGTCCCTATCCTCCCTAGGAACGCACGATGTTCTTTGAACATTATAGGGATTCCCTTTCGTGCGCTCCAATCGATAAAAAAAAAAAAATTAGGCAACTTGCCTGTATGGAAAGTAATAAATGGAATGGATGAAAAAAAAGAATATTCTTTTTTCCAGGACAACCGATTTGTGAACAAGTACTGTTCATGGGAAATTATCGGTGTACTCATAAGTTCAGTTACAGCAAGGAAAACACAACCATACTTCTGCCTTATACAAAATATTGCACTATGACTGCAAGCTTTGGAGGGATGATTGGAGGAATAATCACCGGTGTTTTGACAGTTTTAGCTGGGCTACTTTTTATTATGATCCATAAATGGAGGATTCACCGCCAAGACCAGCTGGAGTACAAAAAATTCTTGGAAAATCAGGGTAAATTCAGTGATGCATTCAATCCCCTATATCTTAGCCCGATCACTGAGTATGAGAATCCGCAAAGTAGAAAGAATTATAAATGAAGAAATAAAAATAAAACATTTTAAGGAAACTGCTTTTTATTCAATCAATAATCAATCAATAACATTTATTGTATCTGAAGAGGAAACCTCATTACAAGAAAATTGGTTCGAACAAATACATAAATTATTAATATAACAGTGTTCAGATTATACATACACTGAAAAAAAGACAAAACAGAGAAATGGTTAATATCATATGATAGAGAAAACAAAAAATAAAGAAACAACAAAAAGCATGGCAGATAATATTCAAAAGGCAATCAAGAGATAATTCCAATTGAAAAGTTCTGCAGTAAGACATAATGTGGAGAAACATTAGAGGCATGCGGTTCATTCATTGATGACAAAAGACCGTAATTTCAGGATATTCATCACAATCGTAGCTAATTGTTTCAATAATTCATATGAATGAGTGTTGAGAATATCTATCAAGTCGTCAATGACTCGTAATTTAACAAATAAATCATTATTTCTCAAGCCAGAATATATAGGACAAACCAGTAAGATATGTTCCAGAGTTTCTCTTTGTTGCAGATTACATATAGAACATAAATTTTCAGTATTGATTATATACGAGGAGCCATAAAAAGTAAATTTCAATCGTTTTTTGCTACAAGTACGAATCTGGGCAACGATTCTGCTGATGTGAATTGGGCAAGGAATTTTTAAGTATTTTTGACAAGTGCTATACAGTGTTAAAGATTGATAAAGGCATGAAAAACTCGACTGATTTAAACTTGCAATGTCTTTTCTGAGTAAAATTTCTTTGTAGGAATCAATTATGTGACTTGTTAATTTTTTCGAAGGTCTAATTAAAAAAGAGTGCCATCTGTGTTCCTGCTCGGCGAATATAAAATACTCCTTGACTTGAAGGAGCCAGTTGTACTTTATATCAACGCTATCTAAGACTGCTAGTCTCATGAAGCAAATTTTAGGTAAGCGAGTATTTTCCATATCCTTCAAACTAGTAATCCATGACAAAGCTGCTTTCAGAATGATTGTACTGATTTTATATGAACCAGTCTCCAGACGGACAATATGATCCGGAGTATTCCTTGATAATGACAGTAGGCGCTTGAAAAAACCAACTTGAACTCGTTCAATCAATTCAGCATACCGCAAACCCCAAACACCAATGCCGTATGATAAGGATGATAAAACTATGGAATTGAATAATTTAATTCTGGAATCCCAGGAATTGATTTTTGTGTGACACATCAAGTCCATAACTGCACCTATTGCTCGAGTACTTTTTGCCATAATTTCCCTCGACATATCTAAGAACATTGACGAAGAGGAGAATACAGTGCCCAAATAAGTGAACTGTTTGACCACTTCGATTTGTTCATTATTGAAATAAAATCTACTCTGATAGTTGGTGTGGTATCCACCTCTGCTAAATATCATAATTTTTGTTTTAGTAGTGTTCACGTCCAGTTTATTTTCCAACGAGTATGATTCTAGAGCTTCAAGTTTTTTGGTCAGATCAATTTGTGAGTCACTCAAAATAACAATATCGTCAGCATACATCAACATCAATACCTCATTTTCACCGTCAATATTCAATCCTTTCAGGCCTTTGCCATGAAAATAGTCCACGATATCGGCAATAAACAAGGAAAATAAAATTGGGCTCAATGATTCACCCTGTAGAACACCTTGAGAAATATCATAAGTTTTGGAATACTCATTGTTGACCCTAACCTAACAGACATAGTAGCCTGTTCATATAAGCTTTTGATAATACGAATGTATTTTGCGCTGCTTTTTATTACCCTAATAGTTATTTATTATACAATGGAAAAAGTAGTAGGTTGTGTTGTCTCCCGACGCGTAGCGTGTTTCAGATCATATTCGGGAACAATTGAAGAGTGGAAGTAACAAAGGTGCTAAGTGCCAAAAATAAAGTTTCGGAATATTTAAGAAAAAAGTAATAAAAACGTCAATATCTGTTTTTTTCGTTTATCAGCATCAAAAATCATTTAAAAGGTCAACGGAAAACCAGTTCTAACTAACACCGATATCTGTTATGAAACACAGCTGAAAATAAAGATTATTTCTTAAAAAAAAAAATAGAAACGAGGTAAGTGCCACATTTTTTTTAACAATATAGGATCAGGAAGTATTGCTGATATAATTTGGAGTTTTTCAAATTTGGAAATAAGGATATAGGCAATAGTCAAACTGATATTGATCACAATAATAACAAAAATGACAAAAGAACGAGGTGTCCAATAATTCGACAATACAGCAATGGGGAAGACCACTGATTTTTTGAAACGACATTATCGTGAACTCTATACTGAAAAACTACCAGCGAATTAATTTTGAATTTTTTCATTCATGCTAAGAAGATGAAAAAAATAAATTAGAATATGTCCATTTCTAAACACACAATTCAAGGTGTTACGCGATCCGTGCCGATGGATGCATGGCGGTGGGAGAGCACCGTCTCGAACGGAGCCTCGGGGATACCTGGCGACCTCCTCGAGTACCAGCCTTGCCACGCCGTGCGGGGCTCCGGCGTGGTCGACTGCCAATTCCCTAGCTATTCGTGGGACCAACATGAAGAAGGAAATTACAAACAAAGGAAAGATAGAGCGGGATGTCACCGCAACCCAGGACGCTCAACCGCGTCCTGGCACCTCTCAAGCACCGAGCTCACCTCGGGACACAGAGAGGGAGAAACAGAAGAAAGAGGGAGAACCAGCGGAGCAAACATCCGACAAGGGTTCCTCCTCCAGAAAATCCTTCGCGAAGAACCGGAGGAGACAAACGCCGCTGCCACCTCCAGGCAAGCCCGGAGGTATCGACGATCCGCTGAGAAGGGGCCTCAGCGGGGCAGGAGTAAGATGGTACCTTCGCTTCCTCGAACAGGGCTTGACACCGGAGGAAGCAAGAAGGAAAGCCGTCGAAAGGAAGAAACCCCAGGAGTTGCCACCTCAACAAACGGAGAAGAGGGGGCCTAAAACTCAAACGCCCCCTCAACGTCCGAATACGAAGAGGAGGAAAACTGAAGCGGGAAGTAGCACCGCCACTGCTAAGCAAACTGGGCAAACCACCAGCTATGCTGAGGCAGTCAGCTCAATAAAAATAGCAGTCCTCCCCAAAAACTACCCGGAGGAGACGCTGAGTGCTGAGCAGCTTACAGCACTGGAGGACGCAATCGTGCAGGAGATGATACTGGGCGCGGAATGCAAACTCCAATTCGGGGGAATTCACTTCCGCCCCAGTATGCTCGTGGTAGACTGCGTCAACCAAGAAACGGCGGACTGGATGAGGGCAAAGGCCCCCAGTTTGAGCACCTGGGAAGGTTCAGCGCTGATGGTGTGCCTGGGAGACGACATCCCAAGGGCGCACACCATCACGGTGTTCTTTCCCAGGAGCACGGACATCGAACCAGAGAAGTTGCTCACCCTAGTGAGCACACAGAATAGGGGGCTCCGAACCCAGCTGTGGAAAACACTAGGAAGCAAGAAGGAGGGCAACGGCCAGCTCCTTAATCTTGGAATAGACGACGAGTCCTGCGAGGCCATCAGGAATATGGGTTACACCATATTCTACAGGTTCGGGAAAATCCCCGTTCATGGCCTTCGCAAGGACTCGACTGAGAAGAAAAAGGTAGAAGAGGGGAGCAAGACATCATCAGCTCCCTCTGCCACAGAAACTACTGTGGCCAGCGAAGCCGAATCGACTGGGAGTATGGACCAGGATACCACGGTCATTCCCAGCGAAGAAGAGCTAATGCTGCTGGATGACGAGGAGGCAAGCACTCCAACACACTAGCAGCAATGGCTAATACAGCATCAGTCAGGTTCGCCCAGGTGAATACTCACCACGCTAAGGGGGCATCAGCCGCCTTATCGAGGGTGTTCACCGGGGCACACTTGGGAGTTGTGTTGATCCAAGAACCTTGGGTCAACAGAGGGCAGATCAAAGGACTGCCGAATAAAGAAGGTAAGGTTATCTGGGATGTCAGGCATGACAACCCTAGAGCTTGCATACTGATCAGGAATGACATTAATTATGTTTGTCTTTCAGAATTTATGACGAGGGACTTAGTGCCTGTACGGGCCAAGATCCACACAGGGCACTCACACCTCGACATAGTAATAGCTTCAGGTTACTTCGCTGGAGATGGGCAAGCACCACCAGAAGAGGTACAGAGGCTATCCGACTACTGCAGCAGGAGCAAACTACCCCTCCTGCTGGGCTGCGATGCCAATGCCCATAACACCATCTGGGGAAGTACGGACACCAATCAAAGAGGTGAGCAATTGCTAGAATTTATACTTGCGGCTAACTTAAGTATACTGAATGTGGGGTCTACCCCCACCTTTGTAACTAGGGCTAGACAAGAAGTATTAGATATAACGCTCGGCAGCCCGAGCATTAGTAGAAGGGTTAGACATTGGAAGGTCTCAGACGAACCCTCCCTCTCTGACCACAGAATCATAATGTTCAGTGTAGAAGGGCTTGTGACAGAAACAACCTTCATTAGAAATCCTAGAAACACAGACTGGGAAAAATACACCACCAATCTCAAATGTAATTTAGAACAAATCAAGTTCAATGGCAAAAGTCACGTCGAATTTGAGCAGACATTAGAAGCAGTTAATGGGGCAATCATGGATGCATATGAATCCAGCTGCCCCATTAGAGGAAAGAAATCACACAGTGGTACCATTTGGTGGAACGAACACCTGTCAAATCTAAGATCCGAGGTCCGCCGGCTATTCAACAAGGCCAAGCGGGACGGAGATTGGCAGGGTTACACCGAAAGGCTGACGATTTACAACAAAGAAATAAGGAAAGCTAAGAGAAATAGCTTCAGGAACTTTTGTGAGACAATCACTTCAAGTCCACCTGCAGCCAGACTGTACAAGGCCATGGCGCGGGGCAGGGAGCAAGGACCAATGTCTCTCAGAAGATCAGATGGTAGCTATACAGAAGATGAAGAGCAACGAGCTCTCCTTTTACTGGAGACGCACTTTCCAGGTAGTACACCATATGATCCCGAAAGAACAC